CCAGCTAATTTTTTTTGTATTTTTAGTAGAGACGGGGTTTCACCATGTTGACCAGGATGGTCTCGATCTCTCGACCTCGTGATCCACCCGCCTCGGCCTCCCAAAGTGCTGGGATTACAGGCTTGAGCCACCGCGCCCGGCGAAAATGGGTTAATTCTAATAATGGTTCATTTTTCATATAATTGATGGAATAAAATTAAAGTTTTCGGAAGTTCATCACAATGGAAATATTTGATATTATTGTGAATGCTAATGTGAACATCAAAGAAAATGTTACCCCTTTTTTTTTTCTTTCTTTCTTTCAGGCCCATACTGGCTAAATACTGTTTTTTTTTGTTTTGGTTTTTTTTTTTTTTTAAAAGACAGGGTCTTACTTTGTCACCCTGGAGTGCAGTGGTGAAATCATGGTTCACTGCAGCCTTGACCTCCTGGGCTCAAGCAGTCTTCCCACCTCAGCCTCCAAATAGCTGGGACTACAGTGCAGTCCACCATGCCCAGCAAATTTTGAAAAATGTTTTGTACAGATAGGGTCTTACTGTGTTTCCCAGGCTTGTCTCAAACTCCTGGACTCAAGTGATCCTCCTGCCTTGTCTCCAAGAGCGCCGCGATTACAGGCATGAGCCACTGTGCCTGGCCACTTGCTTTTATTTATTTATTTATTTTTAAAACTAAATTTAATTATTATTATTTTTTTAAACACAGATCTTGCTCTGTTGCCCAGTCTGGAGTACAGTGGCATAATCTCAGCTCACTACAACCTCCGCCTCCCAGGTTCAAGTGATTCTCATGCCTCAGCCTCCCAAGTAGTTGGAATTACAGGCATGTACCTCCATGCCCAGCTAATATTTGTATTTTTGGTAGAGATGGGGTTTCGCCATGTTGGCCAGGCTGGTCTCAACGCCCTGGCCTCAAGTGATTCTCCTGCCTCTGCTCCCAACGTGCTGGGATTATAGACATGAGCCACCATGCCCAGCCAATTTTGTTTTTGCCAATTTTATTTTTTTGTCCAGACAAGGTCTTTTTTTGAGACAGAGTCTCACTTTGTCTCCAGGCACCAGGCTGGAGTGCAGTGGCACAATCTTGGCTCACTGCAACCTCTGCCTCCCGGGTTCAGGCAATTCTCTTGCCTCAGCCTCCCGCGTAGCTGGGACTACAGGCGCACGCCACCACGCCCAGCTAATTTTTGTATTTTTAGTAGAGACGGGGTTTCACCATGTTGGCCAGGATGGTCTCGATCTCTTGACCTTGTGATCCACTCGTCTCGGCCTCCCAAAGTGCTGGGATTACAGGCTTGAGCCACCGCGCCCAGCCCGGACAAGGTCTTGCTGTGTTGCCCAGGCTGGTCTTAAACTCCCGGCCTCAAGCCATCTTTCTGCCTTGGTTTCCCACAATGTTAGGATTATAGACATGAGCCATTGCACCTGGACTGTTTTTAGAATAATGATATAAACATTAAGTTTAATGGGGCAGAGTCATGGTCAAAACAACGTTCTTACTATATTAAGAGACTCAATGTAGCAGAAAATATATTTGAAATTGGTTGTAGCACATTCATAATTCATGATTATATCTATAAGTCTGGCATTTTTACCAATAAAATAACTAATTTTCAAAATTTACAAGTATATTTATATACATACAGTATTTTAACCAGAAAATTTTTGTGATAACTGATGTTGAATGTAAAAAATGTTTCAGCAAGTCAGTATTTACATTGTTTTATTGCTACCTGTCAGCAATAACATTTTAGAGATGTTTGAAAAATGTGTTTATTACCATTCCATATTTACTACCTGAAATTTTTTCAGGGAACTTGAGATGGAGTGGTATCCTGGTTTTAAAAACACATGTCTAAGGCCTGGTGCGGTGGCTCACGCCTGTAATCCTAGCACTTTGGGAGGCCGAGGTGGGTGGATCACCTGAGGTCAGGAGGTCAAGACCAGCCTGGCCACCATGGTGAAACCCCATCTTTTAGAAAAACAAAACAAAAAAATCCCACATGTCTATCCTGACAATATTTAGCAGTTCAAAAGGTAATAAGGTTATGAATATATTATTTTGCATTCATTCTTTTCAGAAACCCTCCATTTCAAGACACTATTGAAATTTTTTTTTTTTTTTTTTTTTTTTTTTTTTTTTTTTTTTTTGAGACAAAGTCTTGCTTGATCATCTAGGCTGGCTGGAGTGCAGTGGTGTGAAAAAGGCTCACTGCAGCCTCAACCTCCTAGGCTCAAGCAATCCTCCCGTCTCAGCCCCACTGAGGAGCTGGGACTACAGGCCTGCACCACCACGCCTGACTACTTGTGGTATTTTTTGTAGAGACAGGATTTTGCCATGCCTCAAACTCCTGTGCTCGAGTGATCCTCATGCCTAGGCCTCCCAAAGTGCTGGGATTATAGACATGAGTCAGTGTGCCTGCGTTTTATCAAATTCTTGACTCAGTTTATACTCTTACCCTCTGCTCTTCCACTTCTTGTAGACACACACATGTCAAGGACCTAACCAAGTTAGATGAATCTTGTGTCTCTAGCTGCTCCTATTTCCTGGTCGTTAGTAGATATTCCATGTTGGCTAAGGCTGTGGTTTCTTCCTCTTGAGGTGCTTATGATTTCTATGCTGCAGCTTGTTTCCCTGCAGAGGCTATTGACTCTTACTGAAACTCCTTTTGTGTGTACATGTGTCCAGTGTTAAAGCTAACATATAGTACTCAGTACAATATAGTTGGTCTGGCTCTATTAAGACTTTGTCAGTGGCATCATCTTTCCATCTAGTGTTTAAAATGACTTATTACTATATGTTACTAAATTGTGTAATTAAAAAAATATATGATATTGGCATATTGAATTCCGTAATATGACATTGCTTATTATCTTGTTCAGAAGACTTTGGTTCCTTGATGAGACTTGATATAAATGATTCTATTAAAGTACATTCGCCCCTTGGTAATCTCCAAGGATTAGTTCCCGGATACCCCCAACCTCCACCCTGTGGATGCCAAAATCCGCATGTACTCAAGCACCTTACATAAAATGGTGTAGTATTTGCATGTAATCTACACACATCCTCCTGTATACTTTAAGTCACCTCTAGATTATCTATAATATCTAATACAATTAAATGCTATGTAATAATACTGAATTATTAAATTTGTATTACATTTTTTGCTGTATCATTCATTCATTCATTCATTCGAGATAGAGTTTAATTCTATCACCCAGGCTGGAGTGTAGTGGTATGATCAGGGCTCACTGCAGCCTCAGCTTCCTGGGCTCAGGTGATTCTCATGCCTCAGTCTCCTAAATTGGGACTACAAACACACACCACCCTGCCTGGCTGGCTGGCTTTCTTTCTTTCTTTCTTTTTTTTTTTAGAGATGGGGTCTCACTATGTTGCCCATGCTGGCTTTGAACTCTTGGGCTCAAGCGATCCTCCTGCCTTAGCCTCCCAAAATGCTGGGATTACAGATGTGAGCCACTGAGCCCAGTCTGTTATTTTTATTGTTTTTTAAAAACATCTTTTCAGGCAGGGCTTGGTACCTCATGCCTGTAAACCTAGCACTTTGGGAGGCTAAAGGCAGGCAGATCATTTGAGGTTGAGAGTTTGAGACCATCCTGACCAACATGGTGAAACGCCGTCTCTACTAAAATGCAAAAAATTAGCTGGGCTTAGTGGTGCATGCCTGTAATTCCAGCTACTCAGGAGGCTGAGGCAGGAGGATCACTTAAACCTAGGAAGCGGAGGTTGTGGTGAGCTGAGATCTTGCCACTGCATTCCGGCCTGGGCAACAAGCGCGAAACTGTCTCAAAAAAAAAAAAAAATTTTTTTTTTTTTCAATCTATGGTGTGGATGTGGAACTCATGAATACAGAAGGCTGACTGTAGTATCTTTGAAATTTGTAATAAAGGGAAAGACTTCTTTGAAACTTTTTTTGATATGGAAGTTACTTGAGTCTATATTTGAATTACGTTAAATGTATACATTTTTCCTCTGTGAATGAGGCTTTGTGCAATAGGCATGTCATTCTTTCTCACACTGCTTGCCCTATATACATTTCCTCTTTTGTGCCCTTGTTCCTTTTGCTTTCCTTTCTCCCCCTTACCTGCTAGTTTTTTCTTTTCCTTTTTTTTCCCTTATTGCCTCTTCAGCATGTTTTGTTTTTAAAGTATGTATTTATTCTTTTTTTTTTTTTTTTTTTTCCCCCGAGACGGAGTTTCGCCCTTGTTACCCAGGCTGGAGTGCAATGGTGCAATCTCAGCTCACCGCAACCTCTACCTCCTGAGTTCAGGCAATTCTCCTGCCTCAGCCTCCTGAGTAGCTGGGATTACAGGCACGCACCACCATGCCCAGCTAATTTTTTGCATTTTTAGTAGAGACGGGGTTTCACCATGTTGACCAGGATGGTCTCGATCTCTTGACCTCGTGATCTATACGCCTTGGCCTCCCAAAGTGCCGGGATTACAGGTGTGAGCCACCGCGCCCGGGCTGTATGTATTTATTCTTTACTGAAATGTGTTTCCTGAAGAGCTTGTGTTTAAAAATTGCTTTTTGACTTTTTTTTTTTTTTTTTTGGGACAGAGTTTCGCTCTTGTTACCCAGGCTGGAGTGCAATGGCGCGGTCTCGGCTCACTGCAACCTCCTCCTCCTGGGTTCAGGCAATTCTCCTGCCTCAGCCTCCTGAGTAGCTGGGATTACAGGCACGCACCACCATGCCCAGCTACTTTTTTGTATTTTTTGTAGAGACAGGGTTTCACCATGTTGACCAGGATGGTCTCGATCTCTTGACCTCATGATCCACCCGCCTCGGCCTCCCAACGTGCTGGGATTACAGCAATGAGCCACTACGCCCAGCCCGCTTATTGACTCCTAACCATAAGAAAACAATAAATGCAATCGGTTTAATAATTATGACTGTTAACAGAACTTTAAGTATCCACAGGCATATTGGGGGAAATATTTGATTAGAACGAATTTAAGTCCAATTCTTACTCTTTTTAATACAGTTATTTCTCAAACTCTGAGGCTGCGGAGCTCACACATTGAGATCTGTCTGTCATCTTTTTCAGAGAGACTTTCGGTAATGTATAAGTAGTTTTTGGCTTTCATTTTGATTTGTTTCAGTTAGCTGTTTTCTGTATTAAACACAGTGAAACCTTAATTTTCCAGAACTCTTAAGAATTTCAAATATATTCACCACATAATAATTATGGGTAACATGTGATACAAAGTAATTCATTGAAAGATGTCTTAAGATGTGCATGGGATCGCTATTAATTTGACACCATTTATTAGAGACAAAATCTTCAATGTAAAGAATACAGTTCCCTTTTAGTAGTTATTTCCTGTATTCAATTGTGAATGAGATCAAATTATTAAACTTTGTGAACTAGGAAGATCTAATGAAAAGGAATTTTATAAATTATCTTAAATATTTACTTATAAAGGCTGATATAACTTTGACTTATTAGTCAATAAGTGTATTTCAATAAATGTATCCGGAAGAAATACTAAGAGAGTTGTATCCAGAGGTTTATCAAGATTATTCATTGTACCCATCAAAAAATATTAGCAAAGTAAGTAGAAGTAAGGATACCAAGGATAAGGTGGTAGTAGTTTGTAAAAAAAAGTATTAAATACATGTGTTCATGATAGTACTATATCTCTTTCCCGTCTTTTTTATTTTTTTTATTTTATTTTATTTTTTTTGAGACTTCTCTCTCTCTGTTGCCCAGGCTGGTATTCAGTGGCCTGATCTTCGCTCACTGCAGCCTCTGCCTCCCGGGTTCAGGTGATTTTTGTTCCTCAGCCTCTCAAGTTGCATACACCATCATACCTGGCTAATTTTCTACCAAAAATACCTGTATTTTTGGTAGAAATGGAGTTTCACCATGTTGGCCAGGCTGGTCTCAAACTCCTGACCTCAAGTGATCCACCCACCTTGGCCTCTCAAAGTGTTGGGATTACAGCCATGAGCCACTGTGCCTGACCTCTTACCCTTTTTTCTACATAGGAAGACATAAAACTTTTTTTTTTTCTTTTTTCTTTTTGAGACAGTTTCGCACTTGTTGCCCAGGCTGGCACGCAATGGCACGATTTCAGCTCACCGCTAATTCCGCTTCCTGGGTTCAAACGATTCTCCTGCCTCAGCCTCTTGAGTAGCTGGGATTATAGGCATGCACCACCACACCCAGCTAATTTTGCGTTTTTTTTAGGAGAGGTGCGTTTCTCCATGTTGGTCAGGCTGGTTTCAAACTCCTGACCTCAGGTGATCCATGTGCCTCGGCCTCCCAAAGTGCTGAGATTACAGGCGTGAGCCACCGTGCCTGCCCATGCTTCAGTTTAAATAACATAAAGCTAGCGTCCAGGAAAAAAGAGGATGTTTTAGTTTCTTCATTATGATGGAATGAAAATACTCTACCAAAATAATTTTTAACATTACGTATATTTAGAGCTTATAATGTAAAATTAATGTACACATGAAAGCACATAACCACTTATATAGGCTGATATAACCTTTGACCTAATAATTCTATTTCAATAAATGTATCCTGAAGAAATACTAAGAGTTGTATCCAGAGGCTTATCAGGATTATTCATTGTACCCTTCAAAAATTAACAAAATAAATAAAAGTAATAAATGATCAATAGTAAGCACAAAGGTCAATAAATGGTATATCCATAAAATGAAATACTGTGCAGCCCTTTAAAAATTGTTTTCAAAGACTAATGAATTGGAGAAAAAAATTAAACATAAAAGTGCTTTTGTTATTCTTCAACTTTCTTAAATGAATAGATGGTCAATTGGGTGAAACTGCTCTTTTTTTTGGAGCATTTGTTATATGCAATCAGTTTAGGGTGATGAATTAGCATTTAACAGCCTTCTCAGAAGAATAGTTTGTTAGCACTTTTTTTAAAGTGTCCATCTAGGAGGCATTTCTGAAAAGGTTAAACCCTTTATTATGTGTAGAAATCTTATCTGTAAGGAAATTGCTGCATAGGCACCATTGGTATCTAAATAAAACAAGTAGGAGCTTTTAATCCTTTAGTCTCATTTTTAAAGAAAAAGGTGGGAATGCTTAGAGGATATTTGAGCGATGAATACAGATTCCAAGAAATGTGTCATGAAGGCCGGGCGCGGTGGCTGAAGCCTGTAATCCCAGCACTTTGGGAGGCGGGTGGATCACGAGGTCGAGATATCGAGAGACCATCCTGGTCAACATGGTGAAACCCTGTCTCTACTAAAAATACAAAAAAAAAAACAAAAAACAAAAAACTAGCTGGGCGTGGTGGCATGTGCCTGTAATCCCAGCTACTTAGGAGGCTGAGGCAGGAGAAATGCCTGAACCCAGGAGGCGGAGGTTGCGGTGAGCCGAGATCGCGCCATTGCACTCCAGCCTGGGTAACAAGAGCGAAATGCCGTCTCAAAAAAAAAAAAAAAATGAAATGTGTCATGAATTCTGAAAACTGATGACAGCAATATAGAAAATTAAGTGAGTTTTGGGATTTTTATAAAAATGTTAATAATTATAAACAAGTATGTACTACGTAAGAATATCTTTGCCCTGAGGTATTTTATAATCTACGAGGGAAGGTTGTTTACTTTAGGCTATCATTTTCTTTTTTTTTTTTTTTTTGAGACGGAGTTTCACTCTTGTTACCCAGGCTGGAGTGCAATGGCGCGATCTCGGCTCACCGCAACCTCCGCCTCCTGGGTTCAGGCAATTCTCCTGCCTCAGCCTCCTGAGTAGCTGGGATTACAGGCACGCGTCACCATGCCCAGCTAATTTTTTGTATTTTTAGTAGAGACGGGGTTTCACCATGTTGACCAGGATGGTCTCGATCTCTTGACCTCGTGATCCACCCGCCTCGGCCTCCCAAAGTGCTGGGATTACAGGCTTGAGCCACCGCGCCCGGCTAAGCTATCATTTTCTAAGGATTGTTTCTAGTTGTTAAGTGGGAAAATATGGTTCCTTGTTCAAATAGACTTGGGAAATCCTAAGTGAAGCAAAGTTTATCAGCTACCTTTATCAAAAGACTGCTGAGGGTTTAGTATTTATATGTACATACAGTAAATATCCAAAGAGACCTGTAGTGTGTATACCTAATTTATTTGTCCATGGACTCTTTTCTTTGCACTTGTTGGAACTGTGTCTAATATGAAACAAACCCTGGGAAATTGTTTTAGATTAAACATTTTTCCTGTAACAGTAGTATATAAATAATGACAGTACTGTGGAATGTATTTTCCTAGCTAAAGAAAAAAATAGGTTGTGTATGGTGGCTCATGCCTATAAGGTAGAAGGATCTTTTGATTCCAGGAGTTTGAGATCAGCCTGGGCAACAAAGTGAGACTCTGTCTCTACAACAAAAACAAACTAGTCAGGAGTGGTGGTGCACACCTGTGGTCTCAGCTACTTGGAAGCCTGAAGTAGGATGATTGCTTGAGCCCAGGAAATCAAGGCTGCAGTGAGCCATGTTTGTGCCACTCCATTTCAGCCTGAGGGATGGAGTGAGACCCTGTCTCAAAATTAAATAAATGCATAAATAAAATTAAGTGATACCAGACAGCCAAAGGAGACTGCAAATATGTGATAGATTCTGTTTTGTGTATTTTTGCTTTGAATTTGTTATAAACATGCGTTATACTCTCTTACCTACTTTTATTGTTTGAAATTCTTATCTTTGATATATCTGCTGAGACTCATTTCTGGTAGATTTGTGTGTATGTGTTTTTGTAGTTTTGGAATAGGAGCTTGTCTTCCCCTGGGCTTTGTTTGTGGAAAACCTGGGTTGAGGGTGTACCCTCTAGAACTGTTTTACTTTCCAAGGGGTATCACTAGCCTGGGAAAACTTTTTTTTCTTTTTGAGACGGAGTTTCACGCTCGTTACCCAGGCTGGAGTGCAATGGCGCGATCTCGGCTCACCGCAACCTCCGCCTCCTGTGTTCAAGCAATTCTCTTGCCTCAGCCTCCTGAGTAGCTGGGATTACAGGCATGTGCCACCATGCCCAGCTAATTTTTTTGTATTTTTAGTAGAGACGAGGTTTCATCATGTTGACCAGGATGGTCTCGATCTCTCGACCTCGTGATCCACCTGCCTTGGCCTCCCAAAGTGCTGGGATTACAGGCTTGAGCCACCGCGCCCGGCCCAACTTTTTTTTTTTTTTTTTTTTTTTTTTGAGGCAGAGTTTCGCTCTTGTTGCTCAGGCTGGAGTGCAATGGCACAATCTCGGCTCACTGCAACCTCTACCTCCTGGGTTCTAGCGATTCTCCTGCCTCAGCCTCTCGAGTAGCAGGGATTATAGGCATGCACCACCATGCCCTGCTAATTTTTTATTTTTAGTAGAGGCAGGGTTTCCTTACGTTGGTCATGCTGGTCTCCAACTCCCCAACTCAGGTGATCTGCCCACCTCAGCCTCCCAAAGTGCTGGGATTACAGGCATGAGCCACCATGCCCAGCCAACCCGGGAATTATTATTAATTTCTTAGTTTGTAGCTTCCTGGAACCATGCAGATGACATAAGTTCAAACCCCAATTCCAAGGGTGAATAGGCCTATTGTTATGAATTCTCAGAGGAGACTCCCCTGCAACCCTCCCTACAACTTTATTATCCTCCTGTGTCAGTGGATAGGTCTTTTAAAACTACTCTTTGGCTGGGACTGTTGTTCTTGGAAACTTTCAGCTTTATACAGGTGGCTTAGTTCCATTTGTCTGTATTGTCTGAAGGTCTTATCTCACAGGCTTTTAATGCCTTCTGAAACACAAACCAGATTAGGTGCAGTGGCTTATGCCTATAATCCCAGCACTCTGATAGACTGAGATGAGAGGATCACTTGACCCTAGGAGTTCACGACCAGCCTGGGCAACAAAGTGAGACTCCATCTCAGAAGAAATAAAACAAAATAAACATAAAAACCTTTTGATTATTGAGGAGATCAGTAAATTTCCCCACTCAGTGGTAGTTTATAGACTGCATTCTGACTTTTGGTTCCTCAGGGAATTTCCCTTTCATTCTTACAAGCCCATGTAAGATTTATATTTAAAAGTATTCGTTGAAAGACAATGCTTTGTTTGTTTGTTTCTTTACTTGAGACAGAGTATCACTCTTGCTGCCTAGACTGGAGTGCAATGATGTGATCTCTGTTCACTGCAACCTCCAGTTCCCAGGTTCCCAGGTTCAAGTGATTCTACTGCCCCAGCCTCCTGAGTAGCTGGGATCACAGGCACCTGCCACGATGCCGAGTTAATTTTTGGTATTTTTCATAGAGACAGGGTTTCACGATGTTGGCCAGGCTGGTCTCAAACTCCTGACCTCAGGTGATCCACTCACCTTGACCTCCCCAAGGGCTGGGATTGCAGGTGTGAGCCACCACACCCGCCAGACTATGCATTTAAAAAGATGTTTTTTTGTTGTCTACTTAGGTAATCTAGGTTTCTGTATTGCCAAAACTGGAAATTCATATATTACTTTTATAATAAATGCTAAAGTTGTTTTTATTGTTAAAAAAATTCTTTTTACATATAAGTTAAATATATAATGCTACTGTGTTTATCAGGGAGGTAGTGCCCTTTTTGTAGTTTGTTCTTATTTGCACATAAACTACTTATATTTATTTCACTTATTAGAGGGGGGTGCTAGTCTTTTACTTTCCTTTTAGATGTAACCGTCTGTAATGGAAGATGATTGAAGACAAGGGGCCTCGTGTTGCTGACTACTTTGTTGTAGCAGGATTAACTGATGTTTCAAAGCCTCTTGAAGAAGAAATTCACTTCAATGATGCCTGTCATAAAGTAGCTAAACCAAAAGAACCTATTACAGATGTTTCAGTTATTATCAAATCTCTTGGGGAGGAAGTCCCACGGGATTATATTTGTATTGATGTTACCCCAACTGGATTGTCAGCTGATCTCAATAATGGAAGTCTTGTAGGGCCACAGATTTACCTTTGCTATAGAAGAGGAAGAGATAAGCCTCCACTTACAGATCTGGGGTAAGTATTTTTTTTTTAATGACTTACTGTTATTGATCTAAATAATATGCCTTGTAGATTTTGAGATTAACTGTTCATTTTGTTCATTAATAGATGTATGGCAGATTTAGAAAAACAGACAAGTTTGTATTCCGAAACCTGTATTCTCTTCCTGTTTCCTTTTGTCTTTCATTATCCTACAGTTCCCAGCAGTCTCAGCTTACCTGGGTTTCTTTCTGTTAGAGGCAGGGGAGAGAATCTGAAAAACATTTTCAGGAAAGTACTAGAAAATTAATGTATTAACCTGATTGGAAATTTTTTAATTTATTTTTTAAGTATGAAAGTCTTTTAAGCATGTTAAAATGATCATTATAGATGGACTTTTTTTTTTTCCTTTTTTTTTTTTTTTTTTTAAAAGAGACGGGGTCGATCTCAATCACCCAGGCTAGAGTGCAGTTGGCATGATCGTAGCTCACTACAGCCTCAAATTCTTGGCCTCAAGTGATTCTCCTGCCTCAGCTTCCTGAGTAGCTGGGACTATAGGTACACACCATCATGCTTGAGATCATGCCACTGCACTCCAGCCTGGGTGGCAGAGTGAGACTCCATCTGAAAACAAAAAAAAACCAATATGTAGCTTTTTTTTTTTTTAAACTAATGGCAAAGACTTGGCATTAAAGTACAAATCAATGAATTCAGTGAGGAAATAAACTAATATTATTTAAGCACTCTGTTTTCCTAGTGTCCCTTGTCCCTAAGTGCTTAAGTATGGAAAACTTACTGAATGGATGCCAGATCCACCCTGTACTAAAAGCCTATAATTTTACCCCAACAAAGAAAAAATAAAGGCCTAGTGCCTCACTCAGACTTTTGATTAAGGATGGATTTGAAGTTACATTCTCTTAGAAAGCCAAAAACTGTCTCTTAAGGCTAAGGAAAGTACTGGATATAAAAGTGTACAAGCAGACCGTATATGGTTAGGCAAGTAACCTTTTGTAAAATTTTAGCTTTGGCCAAAATGCAAGTTGCTTTTTCTAAAGAAGATGCTTATTTTAGAGACAAAAAAATAAATTAATAGCCATATTAAGTAGTATGTCAAAACAGGTGCCTTCACATTTAATTGTTGCCTTTCTCTGGTATATATATATATTTTGAGACAGAGTCTGGCTTTGTCACCCAGCCTGGAGTGCAATGGCATAATCTTGTCTTACTGCAACTTCCGCCTCCTAGGTTCAAGCAATTCTTCTGCCTTAGCCTCCTGAATAGCTAGGATTACAGGTGCCCTCCACCATGCCTGGCTAATTGTTGTTATTTTTAGCAGAGATGGGGTTTTGCCATATTGACCAGGCTGGTCTCGAACTCCTAACCTCAAATGATCCACCTTCCTTAGCCTCCCAAAGTGCTAGGATTACAGGCGTGAGCCACTGTCCCCAGCCTCTGGTTTATATTAACAAACAGAATGGTTTATCAGAATTTTTCCTTATATTATTTAAGTTTTTTGTGGGGAAAAGAGTTATTCATTAAGACTGTGCAATTCAAAATTGCAGTAAGATTGGAATATTTTTACCATATTGCTATATTTAAGGATCAGTTGATGATGCCTGAGAATATTGCTTTTCATGTTTAAAGTGCTTTGTGTATTTGTATATTTATTTTTTAAATTTTATTTTTAGGGTTTTATATGACTGGAAAGAAAGATTGAAACAGGGTTGTGAAATTATTCAGAGTACTCCCTATGGGCGCCCCGCAAATATTAGTGGCAGTACCTCATCGCAAAGAATTTATATCACTTATCGAAGAGCCTCTGAAAACATGACTCAGAATACATTGGCTGTCACTGACATATGTATTATTATACCCAGTAAAGGAGAAAGCCCACCACACACGTTCTGCAAAGTTGACAAGAATCTCAATAACAGTATGGTAAGTGACTTGTTTGCACTGATAAAATTAACCACTGATGAAAAGAGCATAATTTTAAATAACTGTTTTTTTTAAAACAGCATAGTATAATTACAGAATTGAAAACTATGTTTTTAAAGATGTTAAATATTTTATTTTATTTTTTTTGAAAGTACTTTGGTTGTACTTTCAAAAGAAACTGTGCAAAGAATTTTTTTTTTAAATTAAAAATATAATTCCCCCCACCCTTTCTGCCCACTACAAAAGCAATGCACTAATCATGAATATCCTTCCATTTGTGGACTAGATCCCACACCATACATTTACCTGTTTGAGGACATGACTTTAGCGGTCCTCCCTACTTTTTTGAAAATCACTGTTTTTTCCCTCCCTATTTTCTCCAACATGCAAAAATTTCTTATCTTTGCAAAGCTTCTTGATCTCCTCTCCTTTCATTGATGCATTCCATTATCCTTTACAGTAAAAATTCTAGAAAGAGTTGAGAATATTCTGCCTCATTCCTCACTTTGCTCTTTCTAGTCAGCCTTTTGTCTCTATCACTCCATCAAGATTTCTCTTGTTGTCATATCCAGAAATCAATTCTTCGTCTTAATTTTTCAGCAGGTTTCTACATAAATGATTACTTCTACCTTCTTGAAACACTGCCATGAAGAAGAAATATACTTTCTTCTTAGGTACTGTCTTGCTTTTTCCTTTTACCTCACTAGCCATTCCCTTTGTGCCTTTCGTAATTCCTTTTCATCTCCCCATCTCTACACAATGGATTGCCTCATGGTTCAGTCCTCAAACCATTTATATTCACCACCTAAACATGCTCCTTTGGTGATCTAATTATTTAAATACAGGCCATGTGCGGATGACCTCTACATTTGTCTAATCTGGACTTCTCTAATTCATCATCCCTTCTTGAATATCTTATCTAATGGAGCGTCTCAAATTTAGTATCTCCAAAACTGAACTCCTGGTGTTCCCCTCCAAACCTGCTAATCCCCATAGTCTTCCCTATCCAGCAAATGGTAATTCCATTATTCTGGTAACTCACACTGAAAAACCTTGGAGTAAACTTAACTTTTATCTTCTTCTCGTTCAGTTCTTCTGTAAACTCTGTTAATGAATTTCAGAATGTATCTCGAACCTGGCCACTTCTCAACCTCTCTATTGCCGTAACCCTGGTCTAAGCCATAATGGTCTCTTAAAGGGATTATTGTTTCCTAATCAGGGGTCAGACAAATTTCTTCTTTAAAGAGCTAGATAATAAATTAGGTTTTATAGGTCATATGCAGTCTATCCCATAGTCATCTTTTTTTTTTTAACCCTTTAAAAAAGCAAAAACTATTCTTAGTTAGATATATAAGAACAAACCTTGGGCCAAATGCAGGGCATAGTTTTCCATCTAACTGACCAATTCTTCCATTTCTGCTCTCTCTAGCCTATTCTTTGCATAGATAAGAGTGATCCTTTAAAAACATAAATCAGATAACATCACTACTCTGTTTAAAACCCCTAATGGTTTCTCATCTCACTCTTAATAAAAGCCAAAGTTCTTCCATACGTGATCTTTAACTGCCTTGTCTTTGTTCTTTTATTGCTGTTTTAAATTTTTTAAAAAAGGAATGTATATTCAAAGGAAACTGGAGGGCAGGGGGTATACAAATTGTAGATCTATGAAGTAGAAAATGAAAGTTCTTGTTCCTACTTCCATGTTTTGCCAGGGGTAACAATGAGCAATTTTGTGTCCTTCCAGACCCTGTTGTGTTCACGTACGTGGGGTATATACAATAAATTAATCCTTTATTTTTAAAAAAAATTTGATTTTTTGTATTTCTTTTTCCCTTTTTAAAATTGGGATATATGTGCAGGTTTGTTACAAAGGTATATAATGCATGATGCTGAGGTTTAGGATGTGATTGAACCCCACTCATATAGTGAGCACAGTACCCAACAGGCGGTTTATCAGCCCTTGCTTTCCTCCTTGTCTTCCCTTTCTGGTAGTTTAGTGTCCTTTGTTCCCAACTTTATGTCTAGGTATACCCAATGTTTAGCTATTACATATATGTGAAAAAAGCAGTATTTGGTTTTCTGTTTCTGCATTAGTTTGCTTAGGATAATGGCCTCTAGCTGCATCCATGTTGCTGCAATCTTTTTTTTTATGATTTGATAGTATTCAAAAAATGGAAATTTCTTGATACCTAATGTAAGCCTTTTTTCTATCTTTATCAGTTTATATAACTTTCTACTTAATTCTTTTAACAACTGCATATTATTCCAGAAAATACAAATTCAGAATGATGAATACAAGTTATTTTCAGTTTCTTACATTCCTTGTAATGCTGCTTTGATTAACCCTGTGCATTTTCTGTGAATGTTTGAGTGTCTCTGGAAGAATCAGTAACTGTAAGTGGAATTGATGGGTCCACGAGTATGCTGACCATTTTGAAAGTGTTAATATATTTTTCTGAAAACGCTGTGGCAGTTTGTACTCCCAGCAGCCATAGTTTATGAAAATGCTATTTCCTAGCCCATACCTCACCAACATTAGTTGTTATCAATTACTGACTTTTTAATTTTTTTAACTATTGAGTTTTAAATTATTGATTATATAACAAGCAAGAAATTGTTCTAATTTTAATTTGCATTTCTTGGCTTACTGTGGAGGTTGATAACATTTTAATGTATTAAATAGTAAATATACTTAATATTAGTGTATTACATATATTATTGAATGGCTGAATATTATTATATTACATGGATGTGCCACATTTATTACCTTTTTTGGTAAAGACCTTTTGATTCTGATTTTCTAAAATATTGCAAGCAAGCTGTTACAGACATATTTATAACTAAATCTTCTATAAAACAAGTTGCATTTATTTAGCTCTTCTGTGCTATACACTGTTCTAAGTAATTCACATTCAATAACTCAGTTAATCCACACAACCACCCTGAATAGGTATTTTCTCCCCATTTTACAAAGAAGAAAATTTGAGAGTTAAAGAGGTGGTTACTTTCCCATGATCATACCTTCAATAAGTGGTTAAAGCAAGAATCAAATTCATGCTGCAGAACTCCAGAACCAGACTCCTGAACACTGTACTGCATTACTTACTTCCTTATGGTTCATCCCGGAATTTCTGGATCAAAGCATATATTTACATTATGATTTTTATCCAGAGGGGCTGGGTGTGGTGGCTCATACCTGTAATCCCAGCACTTTGGGAGGCTGAGGCCAGTGGATCCTGAGGTCAGGAGATCAAGACCATCCTGGCTAATGGTGAAACCCCATCTCTACTAAAAAAAATTAGCCGGGCTAATTTTTACAGTGAAACCCCATCTCTACTAAAAAAAATTAGCCGGGCGTGGTGGCACGCACCTGTAGTCCCAGCTACTCGGGAGGCTGAGGCAGAAGAATCTCTTGAAGTCAGGAGTTGGAGGTTGCAGTGAGCCAAGATTGTGCACTCCAGCCTTGGTGACAGAGTGAGACTCTGTCTCAAAAACAAACAAACAAACAAACAAACAAACAAACAAACGGGGCTTGAGAGAACTCACTGGCTCCCCTTTCCCCTTAAAAAAAAAAATTATCCAGAAGGGTTTAGCCCATTAAAATTCCTACCAATGAAATACAAGAGTATTGATTTTTTTTTCGTAACTTTGTTAACAATTGGGTCTCTTTTTTCTTTTTTTCTACTGCAGCTGTTCTGAATAAACAATTGGGTTTTTCTTTTTGTTTTTTCAGAGATAGGGTCTTGTTCTGTTGCCCAGGCTGTAGTATAGTGTCACTCTTGGGCTCAAGTGATCCTCCCACATTAGCCTCTCGAGTAGCACCACTATATCCAGCTAATTTTTTAGCACCACCACATCTAACTAATTTTTAACATTTTTGTAGAGCTAGGGATTCTCTACATGAGGCTGCTCTTGAACTCCTGAGCTCCAGCAGTCCTCTTACGTCAGCCTCCTAAAGTGCTGGGATTATAGACGTGAGCCACTGTGCCTGGACAACAATTGGGTTTTTAATCACAAAATTTTAAATTTAATTTTTCTTTTTTTTCTTAGAGATAAGATCTTGTTCTGTCACCCAGACTGGAGTATAGCAGTGACATGATCATAGCTCACTATAGCCTGAAATTCCTGGGCTAAAGTGATTTTCCTACTTCAGCCTCCCAGATAACTGGGACTACAGGCATATACCACCATGCTCGATTAATTTTCAAAATTTTTTGTAGATATTGGTTCTTATTGTATTGCCCAAGCAGGTCTTGAACTCCTGGCCTCAAGCAGTCCTCTTGCCTTGGCCTCCAAAAGCAGTGGGATTACAGGCATGAGCTACTGTAAATTTGCTTAACTGTAAATTTAATTTAATTTAATATTTTATTTTTTCTCACCAAGTGAACCCCTTATCTGCACCTCAAAATCTGCTTTATCCACAGTTTTCTCCATCTCAATTGAGCTGCTTCCTTGCTGTTACTCAGGCATCGGCGTTGCATTGTCTTTGACTCTCTCATACTGTATATAATCAAATAAGATTTTTTTTTGGTGTCTATTTTCAGAATAGACCCAGAATCTGACCTATTTTCATCATTCCCACTGTTGCTACCCTTACTCAAACTCTCATAATTTTTGCCTGGATTACTAATCCAAAACAATTACGAGTACCTGCTTTATTCTTTGTGTCCTGTCCCCACTTCTCAATGTAGTACTCAGAGTGACCTTTTAAGTCAAATAATGCCTCTCTTCTGCTCCAAACCTTCCAAGGGCTTTCACTATCTTCAAGAGTAGTAAAAGCCAAAATCCTTCAAACAGCCTAATAGGACCCACATGATCTGCCTTCCTTATCTCATTTACTTACTCTTTTCTGCTGTCATTGCCTCTTCAGCTCTTAGGTCATGATAGGTGTACTTTCTTAGGGCCTTTCCTCTTGACATTTCCTCTACCTAGAAACCTCTGCTCCAAGATTAATTCATTCAGCAAATACTTTATGGAGCATCTATAATGTGCTAGGCACTGTTTTAGGTGTTAATGATAACATAGAATGTTGAACTTTTCAGAGTAGAGGAAAATAGATGATAGTAAATTTCAAACAAATAACTTTTAAAGTATAGTATGTTAGAAAGCCCTTAAGTGCTGTAGTAAAAAAGAAAACCTAGAGTAGCATAAAAGGGTATTGGAAGTAGTAGGGAATGGGTTGCAATTTTAAATTGAGTTGTCAGGGAAGCCCTTATTTGAAAGTAATATTTGAAGGCAGTAAGGAAGTTAATCATTCACATATCACAGCCAAAGAATGTTTGAAATATACAGAACAGTCTATGTGAAAGGCTTCAAGGAGGGAGCATTCCTGGCATGTTTTGGGAACAATAAGGAAAATGGTGTGTCTTAATATTTTATTTTTTTTGAGACAGAGTTTCGCTCTTGTTACCCAGGCTGGAGTGCAATGGTGCGGTCTCGGCTCGCCGCAACCTCCGCCTCCTGGGTTCAAGCAATTCTCCTGCCTCAGCCTCCCGAGGAGCTGGGATCACAGGCATGTGCCACCATGCCCAGTTAATTTTTGTATTTTTCGTAGAGATGGGGTTTCACCATGTTGACCAGGATGGTCTTGATCTCTTGACCTTGTGATCCACCTGTATTGGCCTCCCAAAGTGCTGGGATTACAGGCATGAGCCACCGCGCCCAGCCAATGGTGTGTCTTAAAGCAGAGTAAACTGTAGGGAGAATAAAGAGATTGAGCCGGGCGCGGTGGCTCAAGCCTATAATCCCAGCACTTTGGGAGGCCGAGGCGGGTGGATCACGAGGTCAAGAGATCGAGACCATCCTGGTCAACATGGTGAAACCCCGTCTCTACTAAAAATACAAAAAATCAGCTGGGCATGGTGGCATATGCCTGTAATCCCAGCTACTCAGGAGGCTGAGGCAGGAGAATTGCCTGAACCCAGGAGGCGGAGGTTGCGGTGAGCCGAGATCGCGCCATTGCACTCCAGCCTGGGTAACAAGAGCGAAACTCCGTCTCAAAAAAAAAAGAGAGATTGAAATGGGGGGTAGATGATTAGGGCCTTTAGGTGATTGTAAGGACTTTGGCTTTTATTCTGAGTGAGACTGAGATTTTGAACAGAACAGTGACATGCTCTGACATTTGATTTAAGAGGATCACTTATCTGTATAGTGACATACTGTGGTGGGGAGCAAAGGTGAAAGAAGGAAGACCATTTGGGAGATGATTGCAATCTAGGAGAGTAGGGTTGGAGTTGTACAAATCACATTAATTGTGATTAATAAAAATTCTTATTATATACTCTGTTTAATTATCAATGACATTACACTTATTTACTTGAATGGATTGTTTAAGGAATGTGTATCATAAAACTATTTTACCCTTATTTCAGAATTTTAAATAAATTATTTATATATTTATTTTGTAATACTTACTGAACTATTGTCTGTGAGCCTTTGGGAATACAGTGGTGAAAAAAACAAAGTCCCTACCCTCATTGAGCATATATTCAAATAAGAAAGACAATGAACAAACAAATATAGCATGTAATGACAACCAGTCTAAAGAATAAAAATGGTGGCACAGTGGCTTACACCTGTAATTCCAACATGTTGGGATGCCGAGGCGGACGGATCACCTGAGGTCAGGAGTTGGAGACCAGCCTGGCCAACATAGTGAAGCCCCGTCTCTACTAAAAATATAAAAATTAGCTGGATGTGGTGGTGCGCGTGCCTGTAATCCCAGCTACTGCTGGAGGCTGAGGCAGGAAAATCGCTTGAACCTGGGAGGCGGTGGTTGCAGTGAGCTGAGATTTTGACTCCATCTAAAAAAAAAAAAAAAAAAAAAAAAAAAAAATCAGCCAGTCATGGTGATGCATGCCTGTAATCCCAGCTACTTGGGAGGCTGAGGCACGAGAATCACTTAAACCCAGGAGGTGGAGGTTGCAGTGAGCCAGGATTGCACCACTGCACTCCAGCCTGGGTGACAGAGCGAGACTCTGTTTAAAAAAACAAAGATTTGGAAGTTAAGTTGTTCTTTTAAGCAGTGGAGATTAAAGCCTGATTTGGAAATGAATTTGAGAGAAAATAGGAAGTAGATTGAACAAATTATAACTCTTGAGTCATAAAGGATTGTAGAAAAACCTGAATATCTGAAACAGATTGTGAAGTTGAAGGTATGCACTTGAGTAGGTATTTTTTAGTTTATCATTTATACCCACAGTTTGGACTTAGAATAAAATCTAAATGGTTGTGGCTTAGCTTTGTTTAAAAGAGTCAAGTTTTTCTCATGTTACTGCTGTTGAAAGGGAAAAAAGTTATAGTTTACTTCTGAAAGAAAAGTGGACAATGATTCCAATAAAATGTTGACAAAACAGCCAACTGAAAATAGCTAGCAGAGAGAAATTACTACATTTTATATAATATGTACTGGAGAGCTCGAGATTCCATTTTATCAAGTTCCTACCTTTTTAAAATTAAATCATGTTTCTTTTTTTTTTTTAATCCAGTGGGGATCGGCAGTATACTTGTGTTATAAAAAATCGGTGGCAAAGACAAACACTGTATCTTACAAAGCTGGTAAGTGTTATTTTTCATGGAATACTTCATATGTAAATGTATTACAGGGCCTGGAAAGGTTAAAGAAAAGAAAAAAACTGCCTAGGATGTGTTATCAGGACTGGGACTACAGTTCATATCTTTTGATGATCATTTTTGTCCTCACTCATATGTTTATTGGATGCTTAATGGAAGACTAATTAGTTTTTTTTGAGATTGAGTTTTGCTCTTGTTGTCCGAGGTGGAGTGCAGTGGCACCATCACGGGTCACTGCAACCTCTGCCTCCTGGGTTCAGAGTTTTTAAATTAGCAGAAGTATGGGGAAATGTATTTATTTTCATTTAAAATTAATATTTCTTTAATACTTAGATTTAGTAAGAGCTGTAGCTCACATGAAATTGTTTCATAATAATGAAAAATATAATAAACCAAATTGGAGTTTTCTTTTTTATTTTATTTTATTATTTTTTTAAGACGGGGTTTCACCGTGTTGGTCAGGCTGATCTTGAACTCCCGACCTCACATGATCCACCCACCTTGGCCTCCAAAGTGCTTGGATTACAGGCGTGAGCTACCACGGCCAACCACCAATTTGGAGTTTTATAATGCATAGTCAAAATGTCCAATTTTCAGAGATCCCAAAATATCAAACATGGTGATTTTATTTACAAGAGAACAGATTCAGTCTTTTAAAAATTGCTTTTATGCAGGGCACAGTAGCCTGTAGTTCTAGCTTTTTGGGAGGCTGAGGCAGGAGGATTGCTTAAGACCAGGAGTCCAAGGCCAGCCTGGGCAATATAGACCCTGTCTTTAAAAGTGTATACATATGCATGTATATACATGTGTGTGTTTAGAGTTCTAGACTCAAGTTTCTCTTCTACCTTTTTTTTTGGAGACAGGGTCTCATTCAGTTGTTCAGGCTGGCGTACAGTGGCATGATTATAGCTCATTGCAACCTCAGATTCTTAGGCTCAGGGGATCCTCTTGCCTCAGTTTCCCTAGTACCTTGGTCTTCAGGCACATCCCAGTACGCCTGGCTTTTTTTTTTTCTTTTTGAGACGGAGTTTCGCTCTTGTTACCCAGGCTGGAGTGCAATGGCGCGATCTCGACTCACTGCAACCTCTGCCTCCTGGGTTCAGGCAATTCTCCTGCCTCAGCCTCCTGAGTAGCTGGGATTACAGGCAGGCGCCACCATGCCCAGCTAATTTTTTGTGTTTTTAGTAGAGACGGGGTTTCACCATGTTGACCAGGATGGTCTCGATCTCTTGACCTCGTGATCCACCCATCTCAGCCTCCCGGAGTGCTGGGATTACAGGCTTGAGCCACCGCGCCCGGCCTATGCCTGGCTGATTTTTAAAATTTTTGTAGAGACATTGTCTTGCTTATGTCGCCCAGGTTGGTCTCAAATTCCTGGGCTAAAGCACTCCTCACACCTCAGCCTCCCAAAATGATGGGATTACAGGTGTGAGCCACCATACCCGGCCTCTGTTTTTTTGGATCTCTAATTGATTACCTTTTTTTTTTTTTTTTTGGAGACAAGGTCTTACACTGTTGCCTAGGCTAGAGTGCAGTGGCGTGATCATAGCTCACTGCAACCTTGAACTACTGGGCTTGAGCAGTCCTCACACATCAGCCTCCCAAGTAACAGACTACTGAGAGTACATGGCGGCATGTGCTGGCATGCCCAGCTAATTTTTTTTTTTTTTTTTTGAAGTAGAGATGGAATCTTGCTATATTGCCCAGGGTGCTCTTAAACTCCTTGGCTTAAGTGCTCCTTCCACTTCAGCCTCCCAAAGTGCTGAGATTGCAGGCATGAGACACTGTACTGGCCTTCATCACTATTTCTATACTTCCTTTATGACTTTATTATTACCTCATGACCTGAGAGTGTAGTACGGAGTTCACTACAGATCCTCATGGGACCTCTTTGCTGGCTAGTATGTAATTAAATAATTTTAGAACTGCCTTGGACTTTAGATTATCTACTTCATCTCATTTTGTAGATGAGAAAACCATCTCACCTATAGTCCTGTAGTATATCATTTGTCCAAAGTCACAGAGATATTAGTGGCAGAACCAACAACCACTTACATTCCCCCGGTTTATCTTTTTGTCTTTGTGGCTATGTCTAGTGATAGTTTCTACTTGACTTTAAGGGCTTTATGGCCAGGGAACCTATTTTCTGTATCTAGTCCCACAAAATGAGGTACAAGGTTCTTCCTGGAATGTATTCAATGGAAGATACATGGACCATTTTCCAGACTAGTTTATCTAATCTGAAATCATAGGCCACTTAAAACTCTTATCTTCTGCAACAGCTGGGGCTGCAAATAAATAAAATGAAATAAAACAAAACAACTCTATCTTTCATTGGGCGTGGTGGCTCACCCCTGTAATCCCAGCACTTTGAGGGGCCGAGGCAGGTAGATCATGAGGTCAGGAGATCACGACCATCCTGGATAACACAGTGAAGCCCCGTCTCTACTAAAAACAAAACAAAACAAAAACGCTATCTTCACATAATGTGGTGTTATTTAGAAACTGAGCTTGAGTTGATACTATTCCTAAGACATTGTAAATATGTGACTCTCCTATTTTTATGAGTAATTTTCCTGTATTTATGCTAGAAGTTAACATATACTCCTATGGGATATGAATTTTAACGTGTAAAAGCCCCCTGAGAGAAAGTTACTGACAGCTGATGAAGTAGATAGATTAAAATAAACCATAAACTTAGTATGCTTTTTAAGGTAGTATGATAGTATGACCACAAACTGAATTTTTAGGAGTATGTACATTTCTATAAGATTGCCTTTTTCTTGTTAGCTTTAACATAGCCTTTGTGGATGAAGCTTGATAAATATTAAGTAGTTAGTTAATAGTTATAATGTTTAAGGATTAAAATTTCTATGAATCCTACTGAAGCATTCAGTGTTATTTGATGAACGTATGTGTGATGCTTTGGCATTCCAAATGTATGAAATAATAAAGCATTTTATTATCATTGAAATAATAAACACCTAAATTCAAGAGATGATTACCTAATATTTATTATTGTTTTTATAGGTCTAATTTGTAGATATCCTCAAGAAGATTATGAGTCATTCTCACTACCAGAATCCGTTCCTCTATTTTGTTTACCAATGGGTGCAACCATTGAATGTTGGCCATCAAATAGCAAATACCCTCTCCCAGTATTTTCTACATTTGTTTTAACTGGAGCCTCAGCTGAAAAGGTATTATATGGTTGACAAACTGTATCTGCAAATTTCTTGTATATTTTCCAGTTTTTTATAATGCAAAGAATTGTATGGGAAAAACTGATTAAATTTAATGCATTATGCATACTTTGCCACTTGCTTGAAATAACTGTATCTAGGGATGTAGGAAAAGAGAATTTTTATTCTGTCCCATACACGGAAATGCTTTATTGTGACTATGTTGAAAGACTTTTTTTCATCATCGAATGATGGTCCTTCATTGGTTCATTTTCTGTGATAAAGAAGGTTTGAAAGTAACATTATTAAATATGTAATACAATTTAGAATCATAGACATGATAGTTGGAAGGGACCTGGAAATTATCAAGTCTAACGTTCTCATTTTATGGATAGGGAAATTGAGGTCCTGAGAAATTCAGTGAATTGCTCAAAGTTGGAATTTGTATTTCCTTACCTAAATTTTCGTCTCACTTTCTACCAAGTAATTTTGTTTGTTTGTTTGTTTTTCTTATTGTTGTTTGTTTTATTTTGTTCTACCAAGTAATTATTTTCAGTCATTTTCTTATAGAGAATATTGGTACAATTGCTTCCACTCTTTATAAAACAATCAAAACACCTTTTCTTTCAATAGTAAGGAGACATAAGAATAGCCCTATATAGTTCTTAAATACGTCAAGAAAGCAGGAGGGGTGTCTCTTCATTACTGTGTTCCTAATACCTGGCATCTCACCTGGCTCATAGCAAGCATTTGTTAAATATTTAACTGATGATGTGATTTGGACACATGATACAAAGTGTATTTACTGGATATTTTACTTGTTTTGCAGATTTATGGTGCTGCTATTCAGTTTTATGAACCATACTCTGAGGAGAATCTCATAGAAAAACAGAGACTTCTTTTGGGTTTAACATCAGCAGATGGGAAGTCTGATAGTTCCAAAACAATTCATACTAGTAAATGCATCTGTCTTCTTTCTCACTGGCCTTTTTTTGATGCATTCAGAAAGTTTCTGACTTTTCTATATCGTTATTCCATCTCTGGACCTCACGTCCTTCCAATTGAGAAGTAAGTTAAAAGTGTTCTTGGTTCAACATTTGACAGATCTTTCCATTATGTGGCAAATTTATATTGGCAACTGGGTAAATTTTATGTGGATTGTAGATTTCTCAAGAGTTATTTGAAAAAAGTAGTTTATTTCAGTCAGGTAATATTTCTTTATTGTATGTTTATAGTCTTGTTATTTTAAATAATTTTATCTCCAATGAGATGAAATTAATGTTTCATTTGTTTAATGCTCTTATGAAGTTTAGAGAACCTAATCTAGACAAATATTGAACATTTTTTACTAATTTTTAAATTCTTACTTTACATATAATATTTCTTACTGGGCCTGGGTTCTATGGCTCACACCTATAATCTCAGCACTTCAGATAGCTGAGGCAGGCAAATCACTTGAATCCAGGAGTTCGAGACCAGCCTGCGCAACATGGCATAACAGCATGTCTAAAAAGTACAAAAATTAGTTGGACATGGCCCATGCCTGTAGTCCCAGCTGCTCTGGAGGCCAGGGCACGGCAATCACTTGAACCTGGGAAGTGGAGGTCGCAGTGAGCTGTGATAACGCCACTGCCCTCCAGCCTGGGTGACAGAGGGAGACCCTGTCTCAAAAAAAAAAAAAATTCCTTACTGTATTTACATATCATGAATGTGAAGGAGAAATTATTTTTTCTTTGATAATATACACAACAATGGAATTGCCCAATCTACTCATTTTAAAGATAAACCCATGACATGTTAATAAATGTCTTTTTTGAAAAATAACTTTTCCAAAACTAAAAAATCTTTAGTGAGAAGAATAGCATTGTTTTATATTTTTGCAAATATTTAAAATGTCTAGCTTAATTGAACATAGCTGGGCTCCAGTGTATGGTCCTGCATTTAATCTGTTGCCGTAGTTGTTTTGGTTGAAGTATATGGAGAAAGCCTGGCCTCCCACAGATAGGTAGGTTGAAAAGGGAGGGATTTTGGATAATATTTTTAGAAAGTTGTGGATATTCTTTTTTTGACACTGCACGAAGCTTGACAAGTGCTGGTTCTTACATTTGCAATGTGGAATCTGAAACTTTAGCAATGAACACATTAAAACTGTTGGTCTGGTTGGGTGTTCACACCTGTAATCCCAGCACTTTGGGAGGCTGAGGCAGGTGAATCACCTGAGGTCAGGAGTTCAAGACCAGCCTGGGCAACATGTTGAAACCCCGTCTCCAAAAAAAAAAGGAAATACAAAAATTAGCCGGCGGTGGTTGCAGGCACCTGTAATCCCTCCTCCGGAGGCTGAAGCAGGGAGAATTGCTTGAACCCAGAAGTTGGAAGTTGCAGTGAGCCGAGATTGTACTACTACTCTCCAGCCTGGGTGACAAAGCAAGACTCTATGTCCAAAAAAAAAGATCTATTGGTCTGCTTGACTCTGTGTGGAACTTTTATTTATGCATGATTTTGTAATATTGAGCATTAGTCATTTGAAAAATACTGATTTGCCAGATTAAGTGCATCTTCCAAATATAGACACATTTTATTATTAATATTAAAAAACCAAATTTGTTAATATCACCACCTATCTTAGAAAAGTTTTTGAGCATTAGGAAGCTGTCATGCTTATGGTGGCAGAATTCTAATTTCCACTTGAAAGTTTGTATTTAATTATTGGCAAATACTGCCAGTTTTTTTCTTTGAAGCAATAGGCTCACTTTGTTCATTTTCATATAGAAAATATCTGTTGAATAATACTCAACACTGGATAACCTTAGTTTGTCAGTCATCTTTCTTTTTTTTCCTTTCCTTTTTTTTTTTTTTTGAGGTGGAGTTTTGCACTTGTTGCCCAGGCTAGAGTGTGATGGTGCGATCTTGGCTCACTGTAACCCCTATCTCCTGGGTTCAAATGATTCTCCTGCCTCAGCCTCCTGAAATAGCTGGGATTACAGGTGCATGCCCTGCTTCAGTCTCCCAAAGTGCTGGGATTACAGGTGTGAACCACCGCACCCGGCCTGTCAGTCATCTTTCAAAGAAAAATATGCCCTGTGGGAAAAAACCAGCAAATTCACTCACAACTCAGTTGCGCAAGTGCGTTTCCAAAATGGACAACCATCGTATTTTTGTATACAACAGAAGTTCTTTATGTATACTTTCCTTTTAATCATACAGAATTTTTTAGATATACTATAGCCAAAACTTAATAAAATTATTAATATTTACTGCTAATGTTGACACTCTTTTACTGTGAGTGTATAATAGTAAAGAATATAGCAACTACTAGTACACTTTGGTGCCACTGCCTTGATTCATACTAAGTCACCAGCAGTTTTACCCTCAGTGCTCTTGTACTGTCAGTGCAAATGTCAATATCATGTGAAAAGCAAATGACATCATATGATTTTGTTGTTGTTGTTGTTGTTGTTTTTCTTTTTCTTTTTTTTTTTTTTAAATGGAGACGGGGTTTCACCATGTTGGCCAGGCTGGTCACGAACTCCTGCTCTCAGGTGATCCGCCCGCCTCGGTCTCTCAAAGTACTGGGATTATAGGTGTGAGCCCACCACACCCGGCCTTTGTTTTCTTTTTTGACACAGAATCTGATTCTGTTGCCCAGAGTGGAGTACAGTGGTGCGATCTCGACTCACTGCAACCTCTGCCTTTTGGGCTCAAGTGATTCTCATGCCTCAGCCTCCTGAGCAGCTGGGATTACAGGCGTGTGCCATGATCCTCAGCTGATTTTTGTATTTTTGGTAGAGACAGGGTTTTACCATTTTGGCCAGGCTGGTCTCAAACTCCTGACCTCAAGTGATCTGCCCAGATTGGCTTCCCAAAATGCCAAGATTACAGGTGTGAGCCACCGAGCCTTGCATGTTTTTGTTTTTGTTTTGTTTTTTTTCTTTTTGAGACAGAGTCTCGCAATGTTGTCGAGGCTGGAGTGCAGTGGCGCGATATCAACTCACTGCAACCTCTTCCTCCTGGGTTCAAGTAGTTCTCTGCCTCAGCCTCCTGAGTAGCTGGGACTACCAGTGCCTGCCACCACGCCCAACTAAATTTTGTGTTTTTAGTAGACACAAGGTTTCACTATCTTGGCCAGGTTGGTGTTGAACTCCTGACCTCATGATCCACCCGCCTCAGCCTCCCAAAGTGCTGGGATTACAGGCCTGAGCTCCCGCACCTGAACTGTTTTTGTTTTTGAAGCAGTGTCTTACTCTTGCCCGGGCTGGAGTGCAGTGGCATGATCATGGCTCACTGCAGGCTGGACCTTCTAGGCTCAAGCCATCCTCTCACCTCAGCCCCTCCAAGTAGCTGGGAGTACAGGCACATGCCATCATGCCCAGCTAATTTTTGTATTTTTTTGTAGAGACAGGTTTCACCATGTTGCCTAGGCTGGTCTTGAACTCTTGGTTGGGCTCAATCAATTCACCCGCCTCAGCCTCCCAAAGTGCTGGGATTACTGTACTTGGTTGACATATTATTATTATTATTATTATAAAAATAGTTTTGACCTTGCAGATCTTCCCTGAATGGATCTTGAAGATCTTTAGGGGTTTGTGAATCCTGCTTTGTTTTCTGCTGTTATAACTACTTTATAATTCAAGCAGATATATGTGCTGTGGTAGTCATCCCCTGCTTAACATTTGTTTAGATTATGAATACTTTAATGGTAGGCACTGGTGGCTTTATGCCTTTTTTACATTTCCTATCATGTCTTTTTACATAGTAAACAGTCAGAACATGTTTGTAAATTAATAAATTTCTAGTGTTGTATATCTAATTGGCATTTTCTCAGTTCTGAAACCAAGATGATTTTGAAATAATGTTTTAAAAATATAATACAAACATATTCAGACTGGAACAAAAATTTTTTTAAAAATCAGAAATAAAATAGCTTATTCCCCCCCACCCCATCGGAAAGATTTTTCACTCTGATTGCCTTTCTTCTCTTCCATAGTGTTCAAAACAAATCCCATAAATCTAGCTTTTTATCCATCTTATTCTGGGAGAAAACTTACAAAATCAGTAATAGAAATTTTAATGTATTATTAATAGAAGATACACTCTTCATCTTTTAGAAGCTATTAAACTGTTTCATTATTTCTGGAGCACCTTAAGTGTTTGTTGTATATAAAATATGAGCAATTGACTAAAAAGCATATTATAGGAATTTACTTTTTGGGTAATTTCCCAGTCACTGATACCTGGTATATTATCTACTTAGGCAGAGGTAAAAGTTAAAGAGACTTTTAAGATAGTGATAACAAATATTGTTGACTGTGAATACCTATTAATGTGAAAAGTCAACGGGTTTAGACAGAAGCAACTTTAATGGGATGAATGATTTTTGGTTGTTCACTTGTTTTCATAGTATTAGGGATTTCAAAATAATAGGTACTCAGGACTTTTGACTCAACTTGGACTTGTGGACCTTTACAGCATATGGTGTTCACTTTGGAATCACTTACACTTTTGTTTGTTTGTTTTCAAGGCATATTTCTCATTTTATGCATAAAGTTCCTTTTCCATCTCCTCAGAGACCACGGATTTTAGTTCAGGTAGGCTTTTTTGTTTTTGATTTGGGGACCTATGAGTTTTTATTGGCTCTGTCAAAATGTAACATAAGAATAACAGTTTTGATTGAGGAAAAAAACCTAATGAGATCTAGAGAGGACCAGATACTATACTCTGTTGCAGTTTGGGGCCTTTATATTTTATTAACTCCTCCTAGACATCTGTGTTTCTTAGAGAAAGGGGTTCAAGAATGAAAGAAGTAGGTTGAAGTAGACGTTTTGAATACACAGAAAGGAACTGTTTTCCTCTAAATTTGTTGTAGGTATTTGAAAGTTTGTGCCTTTGGCAATTATTTAATAAGTTAAATGTGTTAGAATAGATATAAGGAAAAGTTGTATAAGCATAAATTTGAAAATGTAGATAAGAGTAATTATATTATTATATTGATACAGATAAAATATCTAAAAAATATTATTTTGAGCTTTAAATTCAGTCTGAATATCCACGTCATTTCTGTCTTATTTCCTGGTATTGATAAGAAAATACGTAGCACAGTTTTATGTTTAGATACACACAAAATATTGTTTTACAGTGGAAGTTAGCAAAGTTTTTTGGTTATTGGTCCTGCACTAAGTATTTTAGTCTTTATAGGTCATCTGCTCTCTATCACAGCTATTCAGCTCGGCTGTTACAGCACAAGAGCAGCTAGGTAATTTGTAAAGAATGAGCATGCTATATTTCAGTAAAACTTTATTTATAAAAACAGGCAATCTATGGATTTGTCATGTACGCTATAGGTTTTTTGACCCTGGTATTATGATATTAAATGAATAATTTAGTCTTTCAATGTGAATTTGTTAAAATGGCATCGGGGAAACCATTGAGGACAGAAGAAAAGAGGATTCACAGTAAGAATTAGTTGGAAGGGGTCGGGACATGTTTTTCAAGAACTTTGTGACTGATATAAAAAATCAGAAATAAAATAGCTTATTCCCCCCCACCCCACCAGAAAGATTTTTCACTATGATTGCCTTTCTTCTATCCCGTAGTGTTCAAAACAAAACCCATAAATCTAGCTTTTTATCCAAAAAAGGTGGGGATATAGTGAAACTTCATGGGCATAATCATTATTCAATATATTTTTAACAAAGTATGTTTTAAAATTCATCTTTATGTTTCAAATTCTTTATTTTAAAACTTCTTCCAGTTATCACCACATGATAACCTGATTCTCAGTCAGCCTGTGTCTTCACCTCTTCCACTAAGGCAAGTAAAACCTCGTTTCTATTTATTTTTCTCTCAATCTAACGTAACATCGAAATATTTTCTTTTTCCTAGCTAAAATTTCAAATTTTGATGGAAATACTTCTCATTTAACTATTTCTTCTCTAAATTCCTTTTACTTAATATTTGGGTTGTAGTTATTGAAGAAAAAAAACTTTTATAATAGTATTTTACATTTTTTATATCTGTTATTACCAAGTACATACTATTGTGTGTGTGTATATATATATATTTTTTTTTTTTTTGAGACGGAGTTTCGCTCTTGTTACCCAGGCTGGAGTGCAATGGCACGATCTCGGCTCACCGCAGCCTCCGCCTCCTGGGTTCAGGCAATTCTCCTGCCTCAGCCTCCTGAGTAGCTGGGATTACAGGCACGCACCACCATGCCCAGCTAAATTTTTTTTGTATTTTTAGTAGAGACGGGGTTTCACCATGTTGACCAGGATGGTCTCCATCTCTTGACCTTGTGATCCACCCGCCTCAGCCTCCCGAAGTGCTGGGATTACAGGCTTGAGCCACCGCGCCCGGAGTGTGTGTATATATATCTATATGTGTAGATTATGAGAACAATTGTTTTTAGCTTTAATTGACCTCTGAAGAATATTCAAATGTAATTAACTTTTTTCTTTTTAAGATGCAATTAATTTTAAACTTAACCCAAAAGAAAAAATAGTTCTAATTATTAAGCTGTAGGACAGTGTATTTTATAACCTTAAAAGTTCAGATAAATTATGAACTATGTTTTCTCTACAATATCCTTTCTTGAAATTTGATTAGGTGTGTAATCTTTTTCATTAGAGAAATGGTTACAATCTAATTAAGTTATATAGCAGATACCTAAGGGAAACCAGCTGCCATCTTTGACATTAATTTTGTAAGAATAGCAGATTATTTCATCACTAGCTCTCAGCCCAGAGTGACCAGTGTTTTCTTAACTTTGAGCTGAAAATAAACTAGAAACATTGACTGATACTATGTATGTCACTCTAAATTACATAAAGGACTTTTTTTTTAAGTAACAGCTTTATTGAGAGATGTTCACATATCATGTAATTCATCCAATTAAAGGGTATTATTTGATAGTTGTATTCACAGAGTTCTGCAGCTGTCACTGTAATAAATTTTAGAACATTTTTGTTACCCTAAAAAGAAACTCTTCACCCTTCAGCAGTTAACCTCCTTAATTCTCCCATCCCTAACACACACATACCCCTCTCCAGCCCTAGGCAACCACTAATATACATTCTGTCTTTGTAATCTGTCTTTACTGGACCTTTTTTTTTTTTTTTTTTGAGACGGAGTTTCACGCTCGTTACCCAGGCTGGAGTGCAATGGCGTGATCTCGGCTCACCGCAACCTCTGTCTCCTGGGTTCAGGCAATTCTCCTGCCTCAGCCTCCTGAGTAGCTGGGATTACAGGCACGCACCACCATGCCCAGCTAATTTTTTTGTGTTTTTAGTAGAGACGGGGTTTCACCATGTTGACCAGGATGGTCTCGATCTCTTGACCTTGTGATCCACCCGCCTCGACCTCCCAAAGTGCTGGGATTACAGGCTTGAGCCACCGCACCTGGCCTTTTACTGGACATTTTATATAAATGGAATCATACACTATGTAGTCTGGCTTCTTTGACTTAGATTAATGTTTCCAAAGTCTATTCATGTTACATCATGTATCAGTACTTTTTATTGCCAAATAATATTTTATTGTATGGATATACCTTGCATTTATCTGCTTATCAGTTGATAGACATTTGGGATAGTTCCACATTTTCGCTACTATGAACATCCCCAAATTTTTTTGTGGACATATGTTTTCATTTTACCAGGAGGCTTTTGTTATTAGTTTTGCTTTATTTAAAAAAAAAATTAATCCAGTGAAAATAGCTGTTTAGCCTTATATAAACAAAATACCTGCTGGCTTACTGAACTATTTACTTTGTCAGTTCAGTATTTCGTTACTATGTAGAAGGCCTAAGTTTGTTGTTTTCATTATTAACTTGCTTTGTATGTGTATCTCATCATTTTATACCTCTTGATTTTCTATTACTATTATCATTACAATAGTAAAGATTATCTAGTCATAAATCTAAGTTTTAATGTGTATTTACCTTAAGGGAAGTGAGCCTGTAAGTCATACGGTTTTTCTGATAATCACAGTGAAAGATAAGCCATGTTCAAAAAACTTCCATTTAAGGATTTGCCTTTATACCATCCCTTTTATAAATTGCATTCTTTATTTGGACATTATCTACTTGACAGATCTTTTTATATGAAATGAAGCAGATGACTTTTCATTTTTCTTTTTGAATACAATGTGAAAGAATGATTTTGGAATCTCCTAAAACTGCATTGTTTTCATAGTGTGTTTGTGATTTAGTATTTTCCCTGCATCATAGTAGTAATCATGTTTAACAGTAAATGTATAATACCAATCATACCCGAATCAACATATATAATACAAATCAACTACTTTTGTCTATTGTTTTAGATAATGAAGTGTTTGGATCATTATTCTTTAATTATATGTTTTTGTTTGGATTGACAGTGGTGGCAAGTTTTCAACACTACTCCAGAATTTAGGCCCTGAAAATGCTGTGACACTGCTGGTGTTTGCAGTAACAGAACATAAAATTCTCATCCATTCCCTACGGCCATCCGTGCTTACTAGTGTGACAGAAGCCTTAGTATCTGTGAGTATCAGTTTCTTACTGGCAGTCAATTTAGTTTAGACTTAGTTTATATGATTTAAAGCTATTTTAATGCTTAAGTAAAATTCACAGAGTAATGAATTTGCATTTTCTGAAAGCAGTTTTGATTTCCTGACCATTAACTCTAGTTATAATTATTTAATTCATTATCAGGCATTAGGCTTTAGGTAATAATTTTTTGTGTGTGCTGACAAATTATGCTTCTGTGTCAAAAAGCTAAATACTCTCCTATCTTTGTTTATCCAAGATGATTTTCCCTTTCCACTGGCCATGCCCATATGTTCCTCTCTGCCCACTGGCTTTAGCAGATGTCTTGAGTGCACCATGTCCATTCATAGTAGGGATTGATTCAAGATACTTCGACCTCTATGATCCTCCACCAGATGTCAGTTGTGTTGATGTAGATACCAACACTATTTCTCAGTAAGTACATTTTAGTGATCCTACACCTATATTTTACAACTTTGTAGCATATGTAACTATACATTTTATGATAGGTAGGATTCTTTTAAGATATATTGTTTTCTTTGTAAGTGGGGTAATTACCATCTTTGAATCAGACCTTATTATGCTTCAATGGAATACATTTGGAGTATTAAAGAACGTTTTATTGGAAACACTATACCTTTTATACTCAGGCTTTCAATATTTAAGAAACATTTTCATGATATTTTTGCTTAGAAATGTAGCCAGGCCTTGGGAGGTGGCTTACGCCTGTAATCCCAGCACTTTGGGAGGCTGAGGTGGGCGGATCACAAGATCAGGAGTTCAAGGCCAGCCTGGACAACATGGTGAAACCCAAACTCTACTAAAAATAAAAAAAATTAGCCAGACATGGTGGGCGCCTGTAATCCCAGCTACTCCAGAGGCTGAGACAGGAGAATCTCTTGAACCTGGGAGGTGGAGGTTGCAGTGAGCTGAGATCACATCATTGCATTCCAGCCCAGGTGACAGTGTGACTCCATCTCAAAAAAAAAAAAAAAAAAATTAGCCAAAGGGAAATTGAGATTATAAATAGAAAAAGTTTATTTCCCTTTAGTGATATGAGTATAGGCGAAATCACAAACTGAATTAAAGCACTATTGTTTGATTAATATTTCAATCCTATTTCCAGTCTTTTATAATACTATTAGAATACTTAAATATAAGCTGGGCATGGTAGGCAACACCTGTAATTGCAGCACTTTGGGAGGCCCAGGCGGGTGGATCACTTGAGGTAAGGAGTTCCAGACCAGCCTCGCCAACATGGTGAAATCCCATCTCTCCTAAAAATACAAAAATTAGCTGGATGTGACGATGGGCACCTGTAATCTTAGCTACTCGGGAGGGTGAGGCAGGAGAATCACTTGAACCCTAGAGGCAGAGGTTGCAGTGAGCTGAGATTGCACCGCTGCACTCCAGCCTGGGCGACAGAAGGAGATTCCATCTCAAAAAAAAAAAAAAAAAAAAAAAAAGAATACTTAAACATCATAGTAAAATAAATGCTTTAAAATTTTAAAATAACTTTTACATTATACATAATTTCATTATCTTTACACCCTAGGGATGCAAGGATTTTATGTTTTCATCTCTTTGCATTGAAATAATATGTAAGTTATAGCTATCAGAACTATTTTTAAAGTCTTTTTATAATTCTATATTGTTTTGTATCTCTTATTTTAAATTTAATCATAATTAATCTATTGAGGGAAAAGGAAATTGATGCACTGTCTACATTGCACCCACAGGACATGCTTATAATAACTATGATTTTGTCTAATAAAGCCCAAAAGCTGGTACAGCTTTTACACTAAAATATGTAAATGTGAAATAGGTTTTTCTCCTTTTTTTTTTTTTTTTTTTTCAAGAGACAGACTCACTCTGTCTCCCAGGCTGGAGTGCAGTAGCATGATCATACCTGATTGCCAGATTTCTGGGATCAAGCAATCCTGCCTTAGCCTCCCAAGTAGCTAGGACTACAGATGTGTACCACCATGCCTGGCTTATCTTTTCAAATTTTTTTGTAGAGAAGGGGTCTTGCAGTGTTGCCCTGGCTGGTCTGGAACTTCTGACCTCATTTGGTCCTCCTCCCTTGGCCTCTCAAAGCATTGGGATTACAGATGTGAGCCACCACACCCAGTTTTTCTCCATTTTTAAATAAAAGCTTTTTATGTTAAGCTTTTTGAAAAAATTTTTTTTTTTTTTTTTTTTTTTTTGAGACGGAGTTTCACCCTTGTTACCGAGGCTGGAGTGCAATGGCGCGATCTCGGCTCACCACAACCTCCACCTCCTGGGTTCAAGCAATTCTCCTGCCTCAGCCTCCCGAGCTGGGGTTACAGGCAGGCACCACCACACCCAGCTAATTTTTGTATTTTTAGTAGAGACGGGGTTTCACCATGTTGACCAGGATGGTCTCGATCTCTTGACCTCGTGATCCACCCGCCTCGGCCTCCCAAAGTGCTGGGATTACAGGCTTGAGCCACTGCGCCTGGCTGAAAAAATTTTTTTATTTTTTTGAGACGGAGTCTCATTCTGTTGCTCAGGCTGGAGTGTGCGGTGGCGCAGTCTCAGCTCACTATAACCTCTTCCTCCCAGGCTCAAGCGATTCTCCTGCCTCAGCTTCCCAAGTAGCTGAGACTATAGGCAAATACTACGACACCTGGCTATGTTTTGAATTTGAGTAGAGATGGGGTTTCACCATGTTGGCCAGGCTGGTCTTAAACTCCTGACCTCAGATGATCTGCCTGCCTTGGCCTCCCAAACTGCTGGGACTACAGGTGTGAGCCACTGCACCCAGCCTAAACTTTAGCTTTTTGATTTAATTATGAGATCTTAGATTAGTTGTCAGTCTTGTCATATGTCAAAACCTCAAGTGCCTAAACCATTAGAAAAGTTTAGCAGAAAATGAATAGTCTATTATAAAGCATACATACTGTCAAAAAGTTTTTATTCATGGAAAGGCTGACCAAGAAAATATGAAATATATTTTAGGCATAAAAACCATTTTACATCTGGCATCAATAGATTAAATGATTTTTTACCATCAATATTTCATTCTTTACCAGAACTGTTTAATACTTTTAAATATTTAAGTAATATAACTTTTTGTTGCCAATTTAATGTTAACATTGTGTAATATTTTTTAATTGAAATTAACAGTGGTAAAAGAGTGTATACTGTGTTTATTATGGTAATAAGTTGTATGTTCCCCTTTAAACCATCTCTTAATTTGTTAAAAGAATTTTCTTGGCTGGATGTGATGACTCATACCCATAATTCCAACACTTTGGGAGGCTGAGGTAGGAGGATCACTTGAGGCCAGAAGAGACTCTGTTTATACAAAAAATTTAAAACTTAAAAAAAGAATTTTGTCTTCCTACTTATTTTCTTTTTCTTTCTTTCTTTTTTTTTTTTTGAAGTTGCCAAAATCTGAACTCTTTTCTTTCTGCTTTGATCACTAATGAGTTAAAGAATCAATGAAGGCCGGGCGCGGTGGCTCAAGCCTGTAATCCCAGCACTTTGGGAGGCTGAGGCGAGTGGATCACGAGGTCAAGAGATCGAGACCACCATCCTGGTCAGCATGGTGAAACCCCGTCTCTACTAAAAATACAAAAAAAATTAGCTGGGCATGGTGGCGCGTGCCTGTGGTCCCAGCTACTCAGGAGGCTGAGGCAGGAGAATTGCCTGAACCCAGGAGGCGGAGGTTGTGGTGAGCCGAGATCGTGCCATTACACTCTAGCCTGGGTAACAAGAGTGAAACTCCGTCTAAAAAAAAAAAAGAATCAAAGAAACATGAGTTGTTTGTGCTCATGAATTCTTGACATTATCACCCTCCCAAACCGGTGGACGACTAGGCTAGTGAACTGACAGCCTTCTAATTTCCTTAAGTTAGAATTTCTGAAGCCCCAGCCTGAAATTTGAAAGAAAAACAAATCCCAAGTATGGAATTTTTGGTTTCTTTTTCCGCTCCCTGTCTGTCTTAAATATATGTAATGCAGACTATGTTTTAAATACCAAGGAATTTCTGAAGAAAGGGAAAGAAATTAATACGTATGTACTAAGTGTAAGGCTACATGCATAGCCTAAGTTATCTTATGTTATTGTCCATACTTCGTGAGGTAGTTCTTATTAACCCCTCTGACAGATAAGGAAACCAAAGCTTAGATCTGTAAGCAACTTATCAAAGGGCACATGGCTTATACTGTCAGAACTGGGTTTTAAAGCCATTACTGTTTGACTCCAAAACTAATGCTTTTACCACTAATTTTTGGGTAACTATGTAATATGTGTATGTCATAAAAAAATAGAGTAATCAGCCGGGCGCGGTGGCTCAAGCCTGTAATCCCAGCACTTTGGGAGGCCGAGGCGGGTGGATCACGAGGTCAAGAGATCGAGACCATCACGGTCAACATAGTGAAACCCCGTCTCAACTAAAAATACAAAAAATTAGCTGGGCATGGTGGCACGTGCCTGTAATCCCAGCCACTCAGGAGGCTGAGGCAGGAGAATTGCCTGAACCCAGGAGGCGGAGGTTGCGGTGAGCCGAGATCGAGCCATTGCACTCCAGCCTGGGTAACAAGAGCAAAACTCTGTCTCAAAAAATAAATAAATAAATAATAATAATAATAATAATAATAATAATAGAGTAATCTTCTAAGTGAAAGTCATCATGTATGAGTAAATATGCATTTACTCATAAGATGATCTTTTTGTTTGTTTGTTTGTTTGAGAGGAAGTCTGGCTCTGTCACCAGGCTGGACTGCAGTGGGGCAATCTCAGCTCACAGCAACCTACTTCCGGTTCAGGTGATTCTTCCGCCTTAGCCTGCCAAGTAGCTGGGACTGCAAGCATGCATCACCACGCCCAGCTAATTTTTTGTATTTTTAGTAGAGACAGGGTTTCACCATGTTGACCAGGCTGGTCTCGATGTTTTGACCTTGTGATCTGCCTGTCTCGGCCTCCCAAAGTGCTGGGATTACAGGCGTGAGCCACCACGCCCAGCTAAGATGATCTTTCTTATAAGAAGATGATCATAGACCAAAGTCAAGTACTTCATAAAATTCCTTTACCCAGCTAGGTTTTAGAGCCAAGATAACAAGGGGAAGAGGCAGAAATTATGGCAGTAAATAACAGTAATTAGATGTGATCAGATGATACTAAGATGTTCTTCATTCATTTATGCCACAAACATATCCCAAGTGCCCTTCTTTGCTAGGCACTCGGAATAAAATGGCAAACCACATATTTTCCTTTCTCTTAAGACACTCATAATTAAGTCTAGCAAGATAGGCACTATGCAGTAAATGGTAAGACACAGTGGTAAAGCTGTGTTACAGAGTTTCATCAAGAAAATGATTTTAAAAGTGTTTCTACCTTGCTTTCTTACTATAATACAGGATTCCATGCTGTTGGTCATTGTAAATGTAATCACACCTTCACAGCAGGACATCTGCAATTTGATTCTGCCCTATCTATTTTTATTCTCATTTATAGAAAGATAGATGGAGGAAATTGCAAGATAGTCATTCTTTGTCACCTTAAGCTTTCTTATCCCACTGTTTTTTCTTTGTTTACTTTTAAAAGTGATATTTGCCCTTTTTTGTTCAGTGGAAAGTTTCAGAGAATATAAAAAGGTTCACCAAGTTCCACTATACACCTGTGCTGTGTTATTCTATAGTGGTTAGGATATGAGTGATACACTTTTCTTCTCTTTTTCTATACATTTTTCAAGTTTTCTAAAATGAATATTCATTGCTTTTGAAATTAAAAAAATGATTCAATAAATAAAAAGTAGAGTCAGCCGGGCACAGTGCCTCTCGCCTGTAATCCTAACAGTTTGACGGGAGAGAACAGGATGAATCCTTAAAATGTGGAGTTCAAGTCAAGCTTGGGCAACAAAGCAAGACCTCATCTCTACAAAATAAAAATTAGCAGCCTGTAGGGGTCTGCACCTGTAGTCTCAGCTGTTTGGGAGGGTGAGGTGGGAGTACCGCTTGAGCCTGGGAGTTAAGCCTGCAGTGAGCCATTATCATGCCACTGCACTCCACCCTGGGTGACAGAGTAAGATGTTGTCTCTTAAAAAAAAAATGTGGAGTCATCAAAGCTATCTTTAAATCCAACTGTATTGTAATAGCTATAATAAAGGAGATTATAGGAGCCTGTCCCAGAAACAAAGATACAATAGTTCCTCCCTTATCCACAGTTTGGCTTTCCATGGTTTCAGTTATCTGTGGCCAACTGCAGTCTGTAAGTAGGTGAGTACAGTACAATAAGTTATTTTGAGACGGAGAGCCCACATTCACACAATGTTTATTAAAGTATGTTGTTATGATTCTATTATATTATAAATTATTGTTTTTAACCCCTTACTGTGCCTAATTTATAAATTGAACTTTATCATAGGCATATATGGTTGGGAAAAAAACATCATAAATATGGGGTTCGAACTGTCTGTGATTTCAGGCATCCACTGGGAGTCTTGATATCTATCCCCTGCAGATAAGGGGGAAACTGCTTTGTCATTTTTTTTTTTTTTTTTTTTTTGAGACGGAGTTTCGCCCTTGTTACCCAGGCTGGAGTGCAATGGCGCGATCTCGGCTCACCGCAACCTCCGCCTCCTGGGCTCAGGCAATTCTCCTGCCTCAGCCTCCTGAGTAGCTGGGATTACAGGCACGTGCCACCATGCCCAGCTAATTTTTTGCACTTTTATTAGAGACGGGGTTTCACCATGTTGACCAGGATGGTCTCGATCTTTCGACCTCGTGATCCACCCGCCTCGGCCTTCCAAAGTGCTGGGATTACAGGCTTGAGCCACCGCGCCCGGCTTGTCATTTTTTAATAGATACCCTCTTTAGTAGTTATATAAGTATTTCACAATGTTATACTTTATTCAAGTAATTTAATATTATATTTCTTTTTTGAAAGAAACAAAAATGATCCTTACTTATACTCTTAGGAAACCAAGAAACTTATTTAAATATACCAGAGTATTTTGATAAGTTCTGTGGATCATGAGTTTATTGAAAGTTTATCGAAAGTGTTTGTAGTGCTTTTTCTTATAGCATATAAGAAAAAACCTTAGTAGTAGGATTTTTCTAATATTTAGGTGTCTAAGCACACTTAAATGGGGATTAAGAGTAAAGATCACCATATTAAGCTTTGTGGTGTTTAGCAAGATTCCAAAGCAACTGGAATTTACTCAGTATTAATATAAATTTTTGAGCTATGTTTAATACAAGGTTCTACCCTCATACAAATTAATTTTTAAATATTTAGCATGCCAATTTACTCCTGTATGATTTTTCTCTTGTTAATTGGAATATTTTATATGTTTTTCATTTTTCATTCAATGTTTTATCTTTTGCCATTTTTTATATATAACAGATACATACTTTCCTCCTCCAAAAGACCATGTAACAAATACATTTCTGTTGTTATTTAATCTTAGAACTGGTGACAAGAAAAATGTAGCCTGGAAGATACTTCCAAAGAAGCCATGTAAAAATCTGATGAACACACTGAATAATTTGCACCAGCAATTGGCAAAATGTAAGTGGATAACTTAATTAAAGGGTGTAATTTAATCTGAAAAAGGGACTCCAATTACTTTGCTTATAAAAGAATAATGTTGGGGCCAGGCGAGGTGCCTGTAATCCCAGCACTTTGGGAGGCCAAGGCGGGTAGATCACGAGGTCAAGAGATAGAGACCATCCTGGTCAACATGGTGAAACCCCGTCTATACTAAAAAAAAAATACAAAAAATTAGCTGGGCATGGTGGCGCGTGCCTATAATCTCAGCTACTCAGGAGGCTGAGGCAGGAGAATTGCCTGAACTCAGGAGGCGGAGGTTGCGGTGAGCCGAGATCGTGCCATTGCACTCCAGCCTGGGTAACAAGAGTGAAACTCCGTCTCAAAAAAAAAAAAAAAAAAAATAATAATGTTTTATAATTACTTATAAAAGAATAATGTTTATTTTATCTAGCAGAAAGTGGTTTTACAATTTTAAAGGCAGATGATTATTAAAGCAAAATTTGTTAGAAGTTGAATGAGACATTTATAAAATACATATTTTATATATACCAAACTTTTATAGAACCATATTAGAATAATAAAGTACAAAAGGATGTTAAGGTAGTTGTTTAATTTTACCATTACTGAAATACCATGGAAAAAATGCAAGTTTCCACCTATATATTGTTTTTTTTTTTCTTTTGAGACAAGGTCTTGCTTTGTCACCCAGATTGTAATACAGTGGCACAAACATGGCCCACTACAGCCTTGACCTCTTGGGCTCAAGTAGTCTTGCCACTTCAGCCTCCTGAGTAGCTGGGACTGCAGACACAATGAGGCACGACACCTGGCTAATTTTTCAATTCGTTCTAGGGACCAGGTCTTGTTATGTTGTCCTGGGCTAAAGCAGTCCCTCTTCGATTTCTCAAAGTGCTGGGATTACAGGCGTGAGCCACCATGCCTGGCATATTTTCTTCATACATAGAATAGAAAATTAATTTTGAAAATCTAAGACAAATGGCATAAACTACATTAGAAAATGTTGATGATTTCAGTGGGGTAAAAGCCAAGTCACGTGTTTTTCACCTTCAGTGGATCTTAATGCTTTGTTTACTTTTTAAAATTTTTAATTTTGGGCAGTGCTTATCTTAAATAGTATGAAAATAGAAGTTTGCCAATAGCATTAAGAAAATAATCAAAATGGGCTGGGTGCAGTGGCTCAAGCCTGTAATCCCAGCACTTTGGGAGGCCGAGACGGGTGGATCACGAGGTCAAGAGATCGAGACCATCCTGGTCAACATGGTGAAACCCCGTTTCTACTAAAAATACAAAAAATTAGCTGGGCGTGGTGGCGCGTGCCTGTAATCCCAGCTACTCAGGAGGCTGAGGCAGGAGAATTGCCTCAACCCAGGAGGCGGAGGTTGCGGTGAGCTGAGATGGCGCCATTGCACTCCAGCCTGGGTAACGAGGGCGAAACTCCGTCTCAAAAAAAATAATAATTATAATAATCAAAATGAAAATTGATTAGGATATGGAATATTTCTATTTAAAAAGTTTATATAAGAATATATCTTGACTTACCCAGAATTACTGATAAGAATTAATCTTTCATTTCTTTGTCTAATCTTCTTGGTATTATACAGATGACCCATTCAGAATCTATAACTTAATACTTCCTATCTGAAGTATGGTCAATAGTATTTAGGGTTCACATTTATGTATCAGGTACAATATAAGCATAGGAGGTAGCCTACACCCTTGAGGATTCATCATAATGTACAGTGTAGTTGGGAATAGAGATGGATAAAAACAATATTTACAAAGTACACTTAATAACAAGCAGATAATTCCAAAGAAGCTCATAAGTACTGGGATATTATACAAATGACATCAAATGTAACAAGATTTTACCTTATGGAACAAATAAATCATGCATGTAATACTATTTGTTACCTAGTTAATTGCTTTCTAAAAGTGTTTGCACTTCTTTTGAATAGCTGAGAAGCCCAACAGCTATTGTAACAATACTTAAATATTATTAATATCAGCTGGGCAGGGTGGCTCAGGCCTGTAATCCCAGTACTTTGGGAAGCTGAGGCAGGCAGATCACTTGAGTCAAGCAGTTTGAGACCATCCTGGGCAACGTGACGAAACCTTGTTTCTTTTTTTTTTTTTTTTTTTGAGACGGAGTTTCGCTCGTTACCCAGGCTGGAGTGCAATGGCACGATCTCGGCTCACCGCAACCTCCGCCTCCTGGGTTCAGGCAATTCTCCTGCCTCAGCCTCCTGAGTAGCTGGGATTACAGGCACGTGCCACCATGCCCAGCTAAATTTTGTGTATTTTTAGTAGAGGTGGGGTTTCACCATGTTGACCAGGATGGTCTCGATCTCTTGACCTTGTGATCCACCCACCTCGGCCTCCCAAAGTGCTGGGATTACAGGCTTGAGCCACCGCGCCCAGCCATTTCTAAGAAAAGTACAAATATTAGCTAGGCATGGTGGCAACGCACCTACTTGGGTGGCTGAAGTGGGAGGATCACTTGAGTCCTGGAGGTCAAGGCTGTAGTGAGCCATGCTTGCACTACTGCATTCCAACCTGGGTGACAGAGCAAGACCCTAACTCAAATTAATTATTTATTAATAATGAAATAGCCCATTCAGCTTTTGTAAAAGGCAGAATCTCAAAGGTTAAAACTACAAACATTTAAATAATACTGATAATTAAGGATTGTAGAACACTTTATAGCTTCAGAGCACTTTCACATACATTCTTTTATGTTACAACTATGAGAATGAGTTTGAAGGAGGCATATAGTTATAGTAGCTTGTCCCAGATCATACAGTTAACAAAGATGAAGCTGGAATTAAAATCTAGGTTTTCTTAGCTGGGCGCAGTGGCTCACACATGTAATCCCAGCACTTTGGGAGGCTGAAGCAACCAGATCACTTGAGGTCAAGAGTTTGAGACCAGCCTGGCCAACGTAGTGAAATCTCATCTCTACTGAAAATACAAAAATTAGCCAGACACGGTGGCATGTGCTGGTTGTCCCAGCTACTTAGGAAGCCGAGGCTGGAGAATTGCTTGAATCTGGAAGGTGGAGGTTGCAGTGAGCCAGGATCATGCCACTGCACTCCAGCCTGGGCAACAGAGCAAGACTCCATCTAAAAAACAAACAAAAACCCCCGCCAAAAACCCTAGGCCTTCTGGTTCCAATGCTTACATTCTTCCAGTATTTTCACTTTTTCAGACAGTAAGTACTCCTCCAAAAACTCTCGAAGATGATTAATTGTTCCTTATATTTTAGAATTTTGAAGTAATAGACTTTTTTTCCTGACCCTTGGAGATTTGATGCTTCATGACATTTGAATAGAATGTAATGTATTTCCTACCAAGTACATTCTCTGACATCACTACAATGTAACCATGAAAATCAGGAAATTAACATTGAGCATTACAGCCATCCTAATCCTCAGGCCAACCACATTCAAGTTTTGCCAGTTATCATAATAATGTTCCTTATAACAAAATGATCCAGTTCCAAATCAGGTGTTGTATGTAGTTTCAAGTTCCTTTATTTGCTTTTACTCCTAAACAGTTCCCCAGATTTTCTGCCACCTTTGCAGATTATACCTACTGTTGTAGAATTGTTTATGGTGTGGGGTTTGTCTGAGTATTCTCACGATAAATGCAGGCCACCCATCTTTTTTTTTTTCTTCTTTTTTTTTTTTTTGAGACAGGGTCTCTCACTGTGTCACCCATGCTGGAGTGCAGTGGCACGATCACAGTTTATGGCAGCCACGAGCTCCCAGGCTCAAGTGATCTTCCCACACAGCCTCCTAAGAAGCTAGGACTACAGTCACAAGCCACCACACCCAGCTAATTAAAAAAAAAATTTATTTTGTAGAGATGGGATTTCACTGTAGTGCCAGGCTGGTCTTGAACTTCTGGGCTCAAGTGATCCTCCCACTTCAGCCTCCTAAAGTGCTAATATTACAGATGTGAGCCACTGCACCTGGCCCAGGTCACACGTCTTTGACAGGAATATCACAGAAGTGATGCGTGTCTCTCTCACTACATCCTTATATCAGTTTGTACACTGTTTTGCTTTGTCCCATTATTGATGAAGATACTCACTTTGATCACTTGATTAAGGTGGTGTCTACTAGACTTCTATAAAGTTACTCGTTTACTATCTAATGGTTTTAGCATTGAAGTATCCAGGAAGAATTGTTTTTTATATTTTAATCCTTGTGGGTTCTTCCAATAGGTACTTATATTTAAAAATAAAAAATAAAAAAAAGGAAAGAAGGACTGTTGCATTTGCCCTGTGCCCAGTTTGCACACGCTAAATAGTCCTTCCCTTTTTTTTTTCAGTCTGTTTTCAATAACTAAGACACAGACATGAATAAATACAAGAGAGAATGTCACTGCTGCTTTGAAAAAGCCATGTAGATGTGTAATACATAAGATGCATATGTGTAATATATAAGATACATATATATATTCATATGGAGAGTGAGAGCAAGTATATGCACGTAACATGCAAAGCGGCTGGGCATGGAGCCTCACGCCTATAATCCCAGCACTTTACAAGGCCCAGGTGGGCAGATCACCTGAAGTCAGGAGTTGGAAACCAGCCACGCCAACATGGTAAAACCATGTTTCTACTAAAAACACAAAAATTAGGTGGGTGTAGTGATGGGTGGCTTTAATCCCAGCTACTTGGGAGGCTGAGGCAGGAGAATCTCTCAAGCCTGGGAGGCAGAGGCTGCAGTGAGCTGAGATTGTGCCACTGCACTCCATCCAGTCTGGGTGATGGAGTGAGACTCTCTCAAAAACCAAACCAAAAAACCAAACAAACAAAACATGCAAAGCTTTTGAGGGAAAAGAGCAATTTTTGAAATATTTTCATATGTACTAGTTTATGTATAATCTTCAAGATGGTGAGAGAACAATGGAGATAATTCTGGATGAAGATTTGAAAAATCTGTTTATATAAGTTCATATTATTCTCTTTTCTGTGTCTTGTCGTTTCCCCTCTAAGGGCATGTGTGAAATGGTAGTGGTGTGGATGGTATAGATGACATGGCTGTTGATTCTTTCTAGTGCAAATATTCTGTGAGCCTATGAATGGTATGTATTCTGACACGTATTTATGTTGAACAGCTTTCTGATATTCTGTTGCTTTCTAGGTTGTAATCATTTATTATATATAGCTATTTTAGAACACGAACTTTAAAAAACATTTTTGTAGAGACAGAATCTCTCTATGTTGCCCAGGCTAGTCTTGAACTCCTAGCCTCAAGTGATCTTCCTGCCTTGGTCTGGGATTACAGGCATGAGCTACCATGGCCAGGCTGAACTTTTTTTTCCTGGTGGTAGTGAGATAAACAGGGGTAGTTTTGTAAATTTGGATAAAGTCTATTCAACGGAGCCTACAAAATGCTATGGCAAGTTTTGCTAAGATTTATATGTGATTAAGTTTTATAAACAAAGAGTTGAGGTAGCTTGGGTCCTTTTGAAAACACAACAGAATTACACTGATACCATCGTGAGTATTAGTTTTGTGATTTTGGAGAAAACACTAATACTGTATGTCTTCACAGTGCAGCAGAGACCAAGAGATGATGGACTAATGGATTTAGCAATGAATGACTATGATTTTAATTCTGGAAAGAGGTTGCACATGATAGATTTGGAAATCCAAGAGGCATTTTTGTTTTTCATGGCCTCTATTTTAAAAGGTTATAGATCATACTTAAGGCCAATAACACAAGCCCCATCTGAGACAGCCACAGATGCAGCCTCTCTTTTTGACTTAGAAGGTGAGTGACTGCATAGTTTTAAAGTTTTCATGTCATTGAGCTTAACTTTGTGATAATTCAATTGCTCTCTGTGCTAATAGCTCATATTTATGAGAATGCATACCTATTTTGAGGAGAATGTGAATACCAGCTTTGTTGGTTACCCATTTCCATAGGACTAGTTATTTTTCAGGCATATTAGATATAATACTATACCCAAGCGAGTTAGAAGGAAAGCACCACACTCTGAGATCTAATTGTGAGTCCTTTATTGCTGGCAACTGAGAGTCAGCTTATGCTCAAAATCTCTTGGCCGCAAAGAAGGGCTTAGATTTCCTTTTATATGTTGGTCAGGATAAGGGGGCAAAGCAGAATTTTGCAGAAGCAGAATAAGCAGGTTAGGGGAGGAGGCTGGTAACTAGGAGGCAGGAGGCTCCCATGATAGTTGATTAACTAAGGAGGGTATACACAAGCAGTTCGCATGATTGCTGGTTATCAAGGGGGGCATTTGGTACTTTACATACAATCAATCAAAGGATATTCACAATAGCAAGTGGGCTTGTCAAGCAGGATATGGTTACAACAGTTACATGTTTCTATAGTTCTAAGAACACACGTGGTCCAGCACAGTGTGACCCAGATATGTACTCAAGGGGGAAATGGCAGGGCAGGGAAGCCAAGATTGAGTCTGTCAGGCTCACTTCTAAGATGGAGTTAGTTTGGTTCACCTCAAAAATCTCATTAGCAAATATACAGAAGAAAAATATAGAGCCTCCCAACCATACACCAGCTGCACTTTGTTTTGTCACGTGTGTTGAGATACTGATACTTTCAGCTTTCAGAGCAGCAGGCAGGGTTGGGGATACAGAGGAACCTCTGGAATGGTCACCTCCGGGCTTGAATAACCTCATTTATTTTATTTCAGTATACTTCACAAATATTTTCAGATATTGTGTACTGTACAAATATTTCCTGTCTGTGCCATGAAGTAAAAAAAGTTGGGAAGTTCTGGAGTGCAACTGGTTTTATAATACATATTTACTTTTGAGGTGAACCAAACTAACTCCATCTTAGAAGTGAGCCTGACTGACTCCATCTTGGCTCCCCTCCTCCACCATTTCCCCTTGAGTGCATACCTGGGTCACACGGTGCTGGGTCACATGTTCTTAGAACTATAGAAACATAAAACTGTTGTAACCATATGCTGCTTGACAAGCCCACTTGCTATTGTGAATGCCCCCTTGATTGTATGTAAAGTACCAAATGCCCCCCTTGATAACCAGCAATCATGCGAACTGCTTGTGTATACCCTCCTTAGTTAATCAACAATCATGGGAGCCTCCTGCCTCCTAGTTACCAGCCTCTCCCCTAACCTGCTTATTCTGTTTCTGTAAAATTTCACTTTGCCTCCTTACCCTGAGCAACATAAAAAAGGAAATCCAACCCCTTCCTCAGGGCCGAGAGATTTTGAGCTTGAGCTGACTCTCGGTTGACAGTAATAAAAGACTCACAATTAGATCTCAGAGTGTGGTGCTTTCCTTCTAATTCGCTGGAGTATAACACTTTCTTTTGTAGTATTTAACATTTCAAAGAGAAATTCATTTAATAAGTATATGTTAAGTACCTCCAAATGCTGGGCATTGAGTATATAGTGTTATGCAGAAGAGACATGGCCAAAGAAAGAGAAAAAGATGAGAGACATGGTTATTTCTCTCAAGAGCTTAGAGTCAAGAGAATAGGCAATTAGAAATAATGAGTGAACAACTTCAGTTCACAGCCTTATATCACAGAAGGCTTTTCTGAAGAAGTAACATCTGATCCATTGTCTGAAAGATGAGTAGAAGTTATCCAAAAAAAGGCAAAGTAGGAGAGTGTTGTAGGCAGAAAGAACAGTTTACACAGTCCTTGAGACTGGAAGGAACTTGAATTCCTGGGCCTGAAAGAAGGCCCAAGTGCAGTGTAACTGAGCATAATTAGTAAGGTGAAATCAGGAAATAAACTTTTTATCTGTTTTCAATAAGTTAGACACAAACATGAATGAATAAAAGAGGGGATGTTACTGCTGCTTTGAAAAAGCTGTGTGTGCGTGTGTATGTGTGTGTGTGTGTGTGTGTGTGTGTGTTATATATTTATATGGAGAGAATGAGAGCAAATATGTGCACATAATATGCAAAGCTTTTGAGGGGAAAGAGAGCAGTTATCAAATGTACTAGTTTATCATCTTCAAGATGGTGAGAGAACAATGGAGACAATTCTGGATGAAGATTTGAGAGATCTGGGTTTATGTTCCTTTCTTGTTATTCTCCTATTTCTTTGTCAGGTCATTTCACCTCTCAGAGCATGTGCAGAATGGTAGTGGTGTGGAAGTTTAGATGACATGGTTGTTGAGATTGTTTCTAGTGCAAATATTCTGTGAACCTATGAATATTACGTATTCTGACATTTTATATTTATGTTGAACAGCTTTCTTAAGAAGCCGGGATCGGTCACATCAAAAATTCTATGACATGATGACCAAAACACAAATGTTTATTCGCTTCATTGAAGAATGTTCTTTTGTTAGTGACAAAGATGCAAGCCTGGCATTTTTTGATGATTGTGTGGATAAAGTAAGTAACGGTACATCTACAATGCCCTAACTTATTTTGTGTGACTATTATAAATGTTATGAGTTGTTTCTATTTATAACTTTTAACAAAATCTAAATTTCATTTTCATCATTGACCACTTATAATGAGTTTTGGTAGCTTGCTATAGAATGCACCTTTTAAAATTACCTTGACGGATTTTACTAGATCATAAGTTTTATTTTAGCAATCGGATCCCTAATCCTCCCTGCCTACTTACAAAACTAGGAATTTTTTTGCCTGCCTGTGCACTTCAACTTGAATGTCTGTAATTTTCACCTCTTCTTTTTGTCTGAGATGGGTAATCACATACTGAAAGTAGGTGTAAAAGTATAATAAATGTTTTACCTGAATATTTCTCCCATTGAGAATGAGTTTTGAGCTTAAATTAATTAGTTCTATAATTTTAAATTTATATATGAAACCTTTCTCTTCAGTCCTAGTATCATTAGGTAAGACAGAGCAAGTCAGGTATTCATGCTGGACAGAGAGGAGATAGTAGAATGGTAGTCCAGAGAGGAGTTTCAAAACCTGAATAGGGTGCAGAAAGAGGAAGAGCCTACCTGGAATATTGGATTCCAAGCCAGATAAGGGGAATATTCCAGGAGAAGCATGATCTAACATGGAGAAGTAGAGGACAGGCAATCTAAAGAGGGTGTCCATGTTCAGGATCAGACTGCTGCAAGGTGTCAAAACCTAAACAGGATGAGAAGAGCACTCATACAGAGATGACCACAACATGAAGTATCAGAGCCTGAGCAGAATGAGGAGAGTATCCTCATGGGGATAACAAGGAAAGCAAATGAGATATCAGAGTTTGATCTAGATGAAAGAGGTGCCAGCATGGTGGGGTGGGATTTGGTCTGGAGGGGGTTGTCAAAAGCAAATTAAGGGCTGGGCATGGTGGCTTACACCTGTAATCCCAGCACTTTGGGAGGCTGTGGCAGGCGGATCACAAGGTCAAGAGATTGAGACCATCCTGTCCAACATGGTGAAACCCTGTCAACTAAAAATACAAAAATTATCTGGGCATGGTGGTATGTTTCTGTAATCCCAGCTACTTGGGAGGCTGAGGCAGGAGAATTGCTTGAACCCGGGAGGCAGAGGTTGCAGTGAGATCGCGGCACTGCACTCCAACTTGGCAACAAAGTGAGACTCCATCTCAAAAAAAAAAACAAAGAACAAAAAACAAATTATGGTGAAGAAGTCATCTGCATGGGAGAGGTGTGATGGTGAAGATCGGAGAATGTTACATATGGGGGAGATTGATCAAATAATAAATTAAAGATAATAAAGTTTCTTATTGATAGAAGAGATTTACAAATATAGAAGTGAAGAAGACTAAGATGAACCCTGTAGTTTTGGAATAGAATTGGAGATTTGGTGTAGTCTCATTGGTTTTCAATGCTAGATACAGAAATAAGTGTAGATGTAAGCATATGTGTCTGTGTATGTGTATAGACACATATATTCCCTACCTCTGTACATTGAGAGGACTTGGAAGCAGCCACACCCCAACAGCAATGAGCACACCTAATGTATAGATTTGTCTTCTAAATACCATTCTCCACTAAATGAATCAGGACTCAGAAAAATGGTCAGCCCCAGATTGAGGGCAAGGACATTATGTGATAAGTCCTAAAGTATCTTGTTCTAGAAAACCAAGGATTGCTCCAAGAATGATGGAGACATGTTAAAACAAAACATACACAGAAGTCAATTTTAAGGGATTTCCAAAGGCAAATTAGGATAATTTGAACATTAAATATTAGTAATAGATTAGCCCATTGAGTACAGTGAGAAACCATGAATCATCACAGGTATCAGTCAATCAGTTGAAAGTCATCTGATGAGAAGCAGGATCTTACATAGTTATTAAGGACCTCCCCACAAAATGCATATTAATGACAAAGGGGAAAAGAGTAACTTTATAGTGGAAAAGCCTGGCAAATACCATTTTAATCAAGTTATCAAAGTGAACATTGTCTGTAATGGGACAAGTCAACATTGTGTGCGCCTGATTGGCTGCAATGAGAATACAACATCAATTCCGTAATATTCTTGCAAAAATATATGACCTATATAATCTCAAGGAAACACCGGACAAACACATATTAAATGATATTCTACAGAATACTTCTTCTACAAAGTATTAAGGTTAAGAAAATAAAGTAAAAATGAAGAAACTTGTCTAAAGTGAAATAAAGAGACTTGACAACCAAATGCAGTGCTTAGTTAAGAACTAGATCTCAACATTATTAGGTTAGATCTAGATTATTATTAGATTATTATATTAATATAACATTATTAGGTTATATCTAGATCATAACATTATTAGGTTAATTGACAAAACTTGAATGTGGCTTAAGGATTACATAGTAGTAATGTATAGTGTGTTGATTTCCAGTCATAATGTATGTTAATTCCCAGTTGATTGTATTTCTATAGGAGAATGTCTTCATTTATAGGGAATATAAAAGTATTCAGGGATGATGATGGGTCATCACCAGCTCAGCAGCTTACTCTCTATGATTAAGGGAAGAAGTTACTTGTACCAAAACTTTTCTGTAAATTTGTATTTAAATAGGTATATAGTATATATGATCTTATGCCCATGATAATAGAAAAAAGGAAGAAATCAAAGTTGTATTATGTATGATCACAACAGTTTATAACTTTGAGATTAAAGAAATTCATCACTTGCAAATTTATGTGATTGTGAAACAAAATTAGTGTTTTTTTTTTAAAAAAAAAACAGCCAAAATACAACTCATCCCTTGATATTCAGAAATTGGCACAATTCTGAGTTTAACGTAAAATTGGCCTTATTGATTGTTAAATAAGTAACAAATGTGTCTTATAAAAATGAGAAGTGATTCTCACTAGGAAATAGTATAATAGGAAAAACACTACATTGGAAATCAGAAGTACTTTAATCTTGACTATTAAACTCGTGACTTTAGTCATTTAGTCTTTCTGTGTTGCTTTCTTATGTATGTTTTTAAAATGTTTTGAGGAGAAATAATTACAGCTGGCTATCTCTTAGTGTTCAGAGTAGTGTTGTATAAACTAAAAAGTAGAAAAATGACTATTTTGCATTTAGCTGGGTTTTATTCTCATTAATAGATTAATGGTTCCTTTGATTTATCATTTCATAACAGAAATGTTCAATTTTTGAATGATTTGTGCATATGAACAGCAGGAACACATTCAGAACCTTGTAGGCATCTACCTTTCCTTCAGTTTAGAACACCTGAGGGATGGCTCTGATGCTGTTGGGGAATTAACAAATGAAACTATCCAGAAATATCATCCCTAGTTCTTTCCTGAAAATGCTTTCGAATAGGAAAAAGGTAGATACATGTCATTACCTGCTTAAAACTCACAATTCTTTTTCCCATAGAAACACTGTTATAAATGGTGATTAGCTATACTTCAAATGGTAGCACAGTGTTTTGCTATAAATAAGTATTAAATTTTTCTAAGTTGGGCATGGTGGTGTGCACCTTTAATCCCAAGAGGGATTACTGCTAGCTACTCAAGAGGCTGAGGCAGGGAGCCCAGGAGTTGAGTCCAGCCTGGGCAACATAGTGAGACTTTGTCTCTAAAACCCAACAACAGTGAAGTGTTAATTTTGTATGTGTGGAATTATATGCTAACCACTTTTTAGGACATTTTAAAAATCAGATTTAAGGAGCTATACAAACAATAAATATACCATTGATGTACAAAGTTTAGTGAGTTTTGACAAATACATATTTCCATGTAACCATGACTTCCAAATATTTTCATCACCCCAGAAAAGGCATTGTTTTCGGGGAAGATTTATTTTCTACAGTTTGAGTAACCTATTTACAAACAGGGTTCCCCTGCATTTTGTGTGTTGAGCTCTGGTCTGTAAAGCTTTGAAAACCTGTTGTTGTTTTTTAAATTATTTTTTATTTTTGAGATAGGGCCTTCCTCTGTCACCCAGGTTGGAGTGCTGTGGCATGATCTCAGCTTACTGTAGACTCGACTTCCTGTGCCCAAGTGATTTCCCACCTCAGTCTCTTGAGTAGCTGGGACCACACGTGTATGCCACTGTCCCTGACTAATTTTATTTTTATTTTTATTTATTCATTTATTTTTGAGACGGAGTCTTGCTCCGTCACCAGGTTGGAGGGCAGTGGCGCAATCTTGGCTCAGTGCAATCTGCGCCTCCCTGGTTCAAGCCGGTCTCCTGCGTGTCTCCCAAGTAGCTGGGACTACAGGTACTCAACACCACACCCAGCTAATTTTTTGTATTTTAGTAGAGACAGGGTTTCACCATGTTGCCCAGAATGGTCTCGATCTCCTGACCTCGTGATCCGCCTGCTGTGGGCTTCCACAGTGCTGAGATTACAGGCGTGAGCCACTGCACCTGGCCTTTTTTTATTTTTATTTTTTGTAGAGACAAGGTTTCTCTCTGGTTCCCAGGTGGGTTTTGAACACCTGGACTTAAGCGATCCTCCTGTAGTAGCCTCCTGAAGTGCTGGGTTTATAGGAGTGGCCACTGTGCGTGGTAAAAACATATTTCAGGGAGATAATGTCATAGCTCCTTGACAGTTTTGTCTTCATTAGAGCATTATACCAAGAACTTTTTTTTTCAGTGTTTCAATCAAAGTTTTATGTTTGTCTTATTTGGTACTTCTGTTAGGCCATTCTTGTGTTACTATAAAGAAATACCTGCCTCTGGGTAGTATAAAGAAAAGAGGTTTAATTTGCCCCCAGTTCTACCAGCTTTAAAGAAAGCAAGGTGCATGCACCAACAGGGATCCAATATGTCACATGGCCAGAGCTGGAACAAGAGAGGGAGTAGTAGAAGGTGCCATATGCTTAAATAAAACATCTCATGAGAACTCGCTCACTACCACAAAGACAGAACCAAGCTATGAGGAATTTGCCCCATGACCCAAATGTCTCCCACCAGGCCCCACCTCCAACATTGAGGATTACTTTTTTTTTTTTTTTTTTTTTTGAGACAGAGTTTCACTCTTGTTGCCCAGGCTGGAGTGCAATGGTGTGATCTCGGCTCACCGCAACCTCCGCCTCCTGGGTTCAAGGCAATTCTCCTGCCTCAGCCTCCCGAATAGCTGGGATAACAGGTGCACACCACCACGCCCAGCTAATTTTTATTTATTTATTTATTTATTTATTGTAGAGACTGGGTTTCACCATGTTGACCAGACTGGTCTCAAACTCCTGACCTCAGGCAATCTGCCTGCCTTAAGTTTTTAAGTCTCACAAAGTGCTGGGATTACAGGTGTGAGCCACTACGTCCGGCCTACATTCTTTTTTTATAGGAACAATTGTGGGTTTTTTGGTATATAGAGATGATGTTTCTGTCTGGCATTATGAACTTTGAATGATTTTCTCACATGGTGCTGGGCTTCCATTGGTTGTACATATGTTCTCACTTAACTTCCCTTACGAACAGTGGCATCCATTTGTATAACTGTTGTTACTTGTGCAAACCTTACTGAATTGTAAGGGACCAAACTGGTAACCAAGGTTTTGCTAATAGCATGCTTTAGCCAATAAATTTATTAATCCACATGAGAGCACTGAATTAGTTGTCAGAATCTAAGTGACAGTGAAGAGAAATCTTATATTGTTCCCTTTTATTTTTGGCCTATTTTATGTATCCTATTCAGAAGTTTCTGTTTTAGCTAAGAACTCAGGATTCTTAGCTCTAAGTCACATGATTTAAATAAATATTAATGTCTAAGATTTACAAGATTTGTAATTTTGCTAATTAGGGTAGTGTGTCCTAAGGAGCATATCTTAGTGCTCATAATTAATACATCATATTATCTAGGATTTTCTGTAGGCCACCTATTGTTTATGTGATGATAGTCCATGCAGAAGATGACTGGAATCATTACTTAAAGATTATGAATTCTGAGAAGTCTTGAAAAAGAAAATTCTATTAAATATATAATCATTGTTTCTAGTAGACTATTTTCCTAAAATGTTGTTTATCTATTCAAAGTCTGAATCCAACAAAAGATCACTTACATATAATGGATTAACATTATACTTAAAGATTTTAATGATTACTCTGAAAATCAAAACTGAAAATTAATGCACTAAAACATAATTACTTGTATTTGCTTTATTATAATTCAAGAGACTCTTACTAGAGAAAATAAAGTGTCACAAAATTCAAAATATATCTTAATAAAGTTCATATGGGCCGGGCGCGGTGGCTCAAGCCTGTAATCCCAGCACTTTGGGAGGCCGAGGCGGGTGGATCACGAGGTCAAGAGATCGAGACCATCCTGGTCAACATGGTGAAACCCCGTCTCTACTAAAAAAAAAAAAATACAAAAAATTAGCTGGGCATGGTGGCGCGTGCCTATAATTCCAGCTACTCAGGAGGCTGAGGCAGGAGAATTGCCTGAACTCAGGAGGCGGAGGTTGCAGTGAGCCGAGATCGTGCCATTGCACTCGAGCCTGGGTAACAAGAGTGAAACTCCATCTCAAAAAAATAAATAAATAAATAAATAAAGTTCATATGTAGTTAGAGCAGAGGTTAATTTATCCCTGTTTTGTTATTAAGCAGAACTCTCTGAAATGTAAATGATTATACGAGGCTGTTACTACCTTTCATGTTTTGATACCACAGCGAATCGCAAAAAGTCTGTGCTTACTATTCATCTGCAAATGTTTTCTGAATATCAGTAACACTTTAAAAAGATAATTTATGTGGAGTTATTCTTTAGTAACTTTGAGCTTAAGTTTTTAAGTGAACAAATCTTCTTACCTCTGGCAGTTTAGCAATAGAAAATAAATAATATTAGATACACATTAACTGTCTCATGATTGATGACTAGTTTTGAACAAAAATTAGATGTGTGGTATTGTTATTCACTTACTCTCACATGGTATATTAACTCCTTTGATCTTAGCATATCTAAACAAAACACTTGACTGACTTTAAAAAGCTGGAGTGGGTAATACTGAATAGAGATAAGAAAAATATATGAGAATTATGTGAGTTTCATTTATGACTAATTTAAGAACCATGTGTTCTTGTTCTTCATGTAATTATATTTTAAATCTTTGCAATCTGTTCCTGTGGGATGGTGCTTAACTAAAGGCAGTTTTGTGTAACAAATAGTCTGGTAAGATTTTTTTCTTGGTTTCCCAAGAATCCCTTTCCAGTGTTTTCTGAGCATATTAATGTCTTATGGGAAAATATGAAGAGAATATGAAAATTATTTTAATTTTATCCTGCTGTGGGTGTTGGATTTCTTTTTCTCTCAGTAGAGACAGATGTCACCATGCTTTCCAAAAGATAGAGATGTCCAACTGATAAATGTAGGATTTATTGCATGCCTATTTTTATAATGTTAAAATGAGATTTTATTGATATATAAGTAAAAAAGTAATTTTACCAAGGTAATTTTAATATCTTTGTATACTTTACGGAAAATTAGAGCAGTTGTCCTGGACCCCACACTTTTTTATGAGATAATATGGCTAGAGAATGGAAAGTAGGCACCAATATGGAGAGGGAGAAGCTGTTAAAAAAGAGAACTATTAACCAAATTAACATTTCTGGGCATGGTGGCTCATTCCTGTAACCTCAACATTTTTGGGAAGCTAAGGCAGAAGGATTTCTTAGAGGCCAGGAGTTCCAGACCAGTCTGGGCAGCATAGCAAGACCCCTTCTCTACCAAAGAAAAGTAAAGAAAAGAAAAATTAGCTGGGTGTGGTGGCATGTGCCTATGGTCCCAGCTACTTGAGAGACTAAGGCAGGAGGATAACTTGAACCCAGTAGTTTGAGGTTGCAGCGAGGCGTGATTGAACCATGGCATTTTAGCCTGGGCTACAGAGCAAGACCCTGTCTCAAAAAAACATTAAGAATCATAATATACTGTCACCTAGGCTGGGTGCAGTGGCTCATGCCTGTAATCCCAGCACTTTGGAAGGCTAAGGAGGGCAGGTCACCTAAGGTCAGGAGTTCCTGACCACCCTGGCCAACATGGTGAAACCCTGTCACTACCAAAAATATAAAAATTAATCAGGTGTGGCATGCACCTGTAATCCCAGCAACTTGGGAGGCTGAGGCATGAGAATCACTTGAACCCGGGAGCTGGTGGTTGTGGTGGGCCAAAATTGTGCCACTGCACTCCAGCCTAGGTGACAGTGCAAGACTCTGTCTCAAAAAAAACAAAAAGGAATCATAATATATATACGATTTTGTAGGCTGATTTTTTTCTCATTTATTGTTATTTTGTGAATGTTTTACTCATTGATTATAATTCTGAATCATGTCCTAATTTTTGTCTGGTTCACTGTGTGGATATACCATTAAAAAACATTTATTCCAGGCCGGGCACGGTGGCTCAAGCCTGTAATCCCAGCACTTTGGGAGGCCGAGGCGGGTGGATCACGAGGTCGAAAGATCGAGACCATCCTGGTCAACATGGTGAAACCCCATCTCTACTAAAAATACAAAAAAACTAGCTGGGCGTGGTGGCGCATGCCTGTAATCCCAGCTACTTAGGAGGCTGAGGCAGGAGAATTGCCTGAGCCCAGGAGGCGGAGGTTGCGGTGAGCCGAGATCGCGCCATTGCACTCCAGCCTGGGTAACAAGAACGAAACTCCGTCTAAAAAAAAAAAAAACAACAACATTTAGTCCAAGAGAGTATAGCATATAATGCTGTTAAATATAATCAATAATTTATATGAGAAGATTTTGAATGTATCAGTTCCTTAAAGTGTTAGAAAAATTTTAAAACTCATCTCTCTTCTTTTTTGGTATACTCTGCTCTAAATCCTTATCTTCAAGGTTTAACTTTTTAATAATTCTTGCTCTCCCACTTAATCCACGTGGTATATGATATTTCTAACCTAACAAAGTTCTGTGAAATGTATTTTGTCATATGTATAACATCCTTTTTTATTAATATCAATATTATGCTCTTTAGTTTATGAGCTCTTGTGAGGCAGTTTAGGTTCTATGAAGTTTTCATCTTTTCTGGATATTACTTTGCCATCAAGTGCCTAGTGGAAATAGTACTACTAAAGTGCTTTAGATATTGGTGTGACTAGAGTTTAACTCAAGTGTACTTCTACATATGCTGAAAGAGCTTAGGGAAATTTGTTACATTTAGTATAAATTTTAAAATTGTATAGAATTCACTGTTCTCATCACACAGACACACGTGTATGTGCATTTTTAAAGATTATTTCTTGATTACATTCTCATGATTCAAATGCAAAACATTTGAATATAAAAAGGTATATTCAAATATAAAAAGGTATACATTGAGACATCTGGGTCTTATTCCATCCTTGTCTACGCACGCTATTCTTTTACTCTTCCTCATATAGGTAATTACTTTTCTTAGTATACTTCTAGTATTTCTTTATGTAAATATGGGCAAAAATGTATATATATTCTTATTTTCCCCCTTTCTTACTCAAAAGGTAGTATACTATTTGCAGTTTGCACTTTGCTGTTTTCACTTAATTATTTTGGCGCTCATAGAGAACTTGCTAACTCTTGTTTTTTAATAGCTGTTTACTATCCCTTGTGCAGATGGTTTATTTAACCACTTCCTTATGTGTGAACAGTTGGCTAACCAATGTGGCTTTTTTAATATATGTTTTTAAAATTCCTTTAGGTGGATATGGACAAGAGTGGTGAAGTGCGACTTATAGAACTGGATGAATCTTTCAAAAGTGAACATACTGTTTTTGTAACACCACCTGAGATCCCCCACCTACCCAATGGTGAAGAACCCCCTTTACAGTACAGGTATTCAAGAGGCAGAATGTTTGAGATTGAAAGAGAGAAGGAATCCATCATCTGTGGCGTAGCTTTCTAAGGACTGTGGTATTTTCAAAAATCCAAACTTTACAGATCCCTAATTTTTAGGTGGTAAGCAAGCTTATCCCACATCCATTATTAAGCTTTGAGGTATTAAAAGAAAAAATATATAATTTTGCATAATATAGACTTGGGAAGCTCTCTAATGATGTCTGCATAAGTATCTGTCTTTGTAAATGTTGATTACATTCAGTTAGACTCCCCACCTCAAATACAGCACTTCTATTATAGATTTTTGATTTTTTAAAATTAAAGCCGGTTTCCTCACTTTCAGTCCCTTTTTTCATCTCATACACACATTGACTAATAGAACCTTGTTTTAAAGAAGATGAAATCTAATATAGAGACAGTATTTGTGGCCTTGATTTGTACGATATAATTTTTTAGGTCACTAATTGTTTTCATAAGTTTTAAGTCATGGAAATTCAGAATTATTGAAATTAATCATTGATAATTTAGGAAATTTGGTTAGACACTGTACTAAGTGCTTAGTGTATAGACTTGAATGATACATCGTCTCTGCCTTCAAGTCTAGTGAAGAAGAGAGAAAAGCCCTGAGCATAGTAAAATAAGGGCTATGATAGAGGTCAATGTATTATTTAATTTCTAATATATATTAATTTTCACTTGATATTGTAGTTTCTTTTAGAGTTTAAGTGGTTTTTTAATTCTCCAGTAATACTTTCTCATTTTGTTTAAAGATTCTAAAACCATTTCACATCTATCACCCATTGAATCACAATTTGTTATTTTCTTTGGAAGAGGATTTTTGAAGACATCCTCATTTATGACTTGGATTAAATTCTTCCTTTTACAGATGAAAAAGTGGTGTGATAGATGTTTATGAATGTTGTTTAATTAGAGGCCACTTGATTTCTTAAAGGCATATAAATAGTTTTAATTAGGAAGAAACCTAACTATAATAAAAGAGGGTAGACAGTATTTTTTATACCTTACTATAGTCAAATTCTACAGAATAAGAAAATATTAGTAAGTAATATCTTTTCATCCAGTGATGATGTTCATATCACTTTTTAAATGTCTTTTGTCAAGGATATTTAAAGTATTTCTCCTAATTTTTCTCTTCCTCTCTTTTTTTTTTCTAACAAGTTCTCATTTTTTAAAATCTCTTGTACTTTATTTGCCTTTTAGTATATGTCACTAATAGCGTTTTGTGTTTTTTTTCTGTGGTTTGGTTTTAACTTTGTAATTTAAATTTTACTTTTAGATTTAGTCCTTAACTTTAAGAAAATTTGGTCAGGCATGGTGGCTCATGCCTGTAACCCCAGCACTTTGGGAATCTGAGGTGGGCAGATCATTTGAGGTCAGGCGTCCAGGACTAGCCTGGTCAACATGGTGAAATCCCTGTCTCTGCTAAAATACAAAAATTAGCCAGGCATGGGTGGCAGGCGCCTGTAATCCCGGCTACTCAGGAGGCTGAGGCAGGAGAATTGCTTGAACCTGTGAGGCAGAGGTTGCAGTGAGCTGAGATCGCACCACTGCACTCCAGCCTGGGTGGCAGAACGAGACTCTTTCTCAAAAAAACCCACATTATTCCTGCCTGGGCAACACAGCGAGACCTTGTCTCTACAAATAATTTTTAAAAGTAGCTGGGCATGGTGGTGCACACCTGTAGTCTCAGTTACTCAGGAGGCTGAGGCGGGCGGATCACTTGAGCCTGGGAGGTTGAGGCTGCAGTGAGCCATGATTGAGCTACTGCACTCCAGCCTAGGCAAAGAGTAGACACTATATGAAAAAATAAAAAGAAAATTATATAGCTTAAAAAGTTTCCACTTTTTTAGAGTCTTTTTTTTTCTTCTTCAGACTACCAATGTAATTTTGGTGTAATCACAACCATCATTGGGAAAACACTGTAAATGTCCTTAATGAGCACAGAGAGTCTGCCTCATAAGAGATTACTCATATACTTACATTGTCTATGTAAAATAGTGAGGCATTTGAAATAAGACACGCAAAATGGTCTTATTATCTCATCATATATATACAATGAATTTTTTAAGGAGCATGGTTTTCCTGGATTTCTTTGCTGTTTCCTACTCAACATTAAATCATTACTAATATTTTCTGATTCTGTGGAATTTGACTATAGTAATGTGTAAAAAATATTGTCTACCCTCTTTTATTATAGTTAGGTTTCTTCCTAATTAAAACTATTTATATGCCTTTAAGAAAATACTATGTAGTATTCTTAAACAGGTTAAGTTTATTGCTCAGGAGGCTGCTTTGGTTCCTTTCAGCAAATCTTTTTCCTAACTGCTGCCTTTCACTTACATACTTGCTTATTTATTAATGAAGTTTTGCTGTCTAGTCCAGGCTGGAGTATGGTGTCTGTTCACAGGCAGACTCAGAATGCACTACAGCTTTGAATGTTTGGGCTCAGGTGGTCCTCCTGCCTCAGTTTCCTGAGTAACTGGGATTATAGGCATACACTAACTGCATCCAGCCTAGCTGCTAGCTTTTAAATGCCCAGAACATCTTGCTCGCTAGTATCCTTATTAGGTGTACCTTCTAATAGAGCACCCATTCTAACCTTTTCTTCCTCTTATTTAACCTTCTCAATTTTCTTTCTTATAAATGGTGCCCTGAACCCACTAGCTAACCTGACAAACCAATTCATGAGAATGAGAGCTAGGCCTGATGTGCTAATGTGTTGTTAATTGCATCTTTCTAAGAAAGGAGGTTCAACAGTAAATATGTTAATCCAAGGCAATGACGTTAATGATTGCCCTGTTTGAAAGAGTCCTAAATTGGTGGGCCTTTTTACCAACTATCTATTATCTAATTTGTTTGTTACGTATTTACAAGAGTACTAACTTTTAAAAGTTTGCCTAAGTTACTTTGGAGTTGGATGTCATATTCATTTATATGTTTTTCCCTTTTCCTCAAAAAATAACTTGAGTCTGAATTTGGCTGTTACATTTCTAATTATTATAGTAAGAAAAGCAATATTAGCATGAATATTTGTTGAGTATATATTGTAACCTGATGAAGAAAGATAGTTAAATTCTAAATGAAGAAGCCATTGGTCATAATCATATTAACCTGTAAACACTATGATCATCTATATGTGCTTGAGAACTTTTTTTTGTTTTCTTTTCTGAAACAGCTATAATGGATTTCCAGTTCTTAGGAACAATTTATTTGAGAGACCTGAAGGATTTCTACAAGTAAAGAACAACAAATTGCCTTCAAAATCAAGTAGTCCTAATAGCCCTTCACCCATGTTCAGAAGAACAAAACAGGTACTTTATCACATTCTTCATGTAATAAAATATTAGAACAAAAAATAACTTGAATAATTATCCTTTCTCACTTCGTATATAACTATTACTAGATGATTATGTTCCCCAAAGGACTCTGAAGATGGAGTAATCTGACTTCAAGAAATTAACTAGTTCTCTTGTCCTAGAACTTTATTTTATATGCTATTTAATACAGATTCAAGCAGAAACTTGAAAATACATTAATTACAGACATATTTTGTTATGGAAACATAAAAGCATGTGACTTGTATTCGTTTAGCATTCAGTTAAGTATAGATGCCTAACTGCATAAATTTATTAGTAAGATCCTTTTATTTTTTTCCAGGAAATTAAATCAGCCCATAAAATTGCAAAGAGGTACTCTTCCATCCCTCAGATGTGGTCTAGGTGTCTGCTGCGCCACTGTTATGGACTGTGGTTTATTTGTCTCCCAGCTTATGTGAAAGTCTGTCATTCAAAAGTCAGGGCTCTGAAAACAGCATATGATGTGCTTAAAAAAATGCAGTCAAAGAAGATGGATCCACCTGATGAGGTAACAATTATTACTATTGTTACTATTTTTGAGACAAGATCTCACTCTGTGACCCAGGCTAGAGGGCAGTGATGCAATCACGGCTCACTGCAGCCTTCACCTCTTGGGCTCAAGAGATGCAGTTCTCCCATTTTAGCCTCCCAGACAGCTGTGACTACAGTCATGTGCCACCACGCCTGGCTAATTTAATTTTTTTGTAGAGATAGGGTCTCACTTTGTGGTCTAGGTTGGTCTGAAGCTCCTGGGCTCAAGAGATTCACCTGCCTTAGCCTTCCAAAATGTTGAGATTACAGGCATGAGCCACTGTGCCCTGCCACAATTATTGTTTAAAATGCATTGTTTTATTCTAGATTTATATACATGGTTACATCTGTGTTTCTGTACAATTTTGAACTTATATTTCAGGTATGCTATCGCATTCTTATGCAACTCTGTGGACAGTATGATCAGCCAGTGCTTGCAGTTCGAGTGCTTTTTGAAATGCAGAAGGCTGGTATTGACCCCAATGCCATTACTTATGGTTATTATAATAAGGTAAATACATTGATTTAATGGATAAAGAGTATAACTTTTGTCATTATACAACCTTAAATTTAATGGCAGAAATAATTATGTAGGGGGTTATTTGGCATTTATTTTAGAGTATAAAAATATATTTTGTCAATCACAGAAGACTTTAGTTTTTTTTATGTTACACAATCTACTTTGATTTTTTTTTTCTTTGAAATAGAGTGTCACTCTGTCAACCAGGCTAGAGCGCAGTGGCATGATCATGGCTCACTGCAGCCTTGACTTCCCAGGCTCAATTGATCTTCCCACCTGAGCTCCCTGAGTAGCTGGGACTACAGACAGGTACCACCATGCCTGGTTAATTCTCCTATTTTTTGTAGAGGTGGGTTTTCACCTTGTTGTCCAGACTGGTCTCGAATTTCTGGGCTCAAGTGATTCACCTGCCTTAGCTTCCCAAACTGCTGGGATTACAGGCGTGAGCCACCATGCCTGGCCTGCTTTGATATTCTTTAGCTTGATTCTGAAACCAATGTATGTTCACTTATAAAATTATTTTACTAATTATTTTATTTTGTTGAATGAATAGGCTGTTTTGGAAAGTACCTGGCCTTCAAGAAGTCGTAGTGGCTATTTTCTTTGGACAAAAGTAAGAAATGTTGTTTTAGGAGTAGCACAGTTCAAAAGAGCTTTAAAGAAACATGCACACTTATCACAAACAACTCTCTCAGGTAAGGGATGTATGTGTTTTACTTGTTTTTCAAAATTAATTGACTAGCTACAGTTTACATTTTTAGAAATTTTAAATAGCTTTAAAATATTGAATATGTTTTAGTTTTTACTGTTGTTAAGCAAATTATAATATTACTTTTTCCATTTAAAAACCACCAGATTTTACTTGTTTCAAATGTTTCAACTTCTAACCACCTTTGTGTGTGTTGTTTTAGTGTTCATTAATAATTCACAATAGGTTTATTTGTTACAGTTGTGTTTTGCTAAGTATGCGGCACTTTTCATGTTCAGTATTACATTGGTGGGTTATTAGCTTGAGCAACAAATTAATATGTATTTTTCATACCTCCTTGAGTAGTAAAATGCTGTCAAATTGTGTTCTTAAGCAGATGGCAGTGACCTGGATGCTGTTAGTCATGGCAGCATGGATAGTGGTCATGGGACACACACTGTGGAGCAGGCACCTTTTAATACGGGTTTAATCAAAGTATATGCTACTGATGATAGATCTAGTACAGGTTTGTGTATGCTTATGTATACATTTATTATAGTACATTTTTAAAACTAGATTTGCTAGCCTATGTTTTTTTTTTTTTTTACATTTTCATTTTCAGTGATGTGTTTAACTGTCACTTTTTCATTTTACATATTAGGTATTTGATTTGATATTAAATTTAATAACTATATGAAATTTTATTCATTTTTTAAAATTTGAATAGAAATAAAAGTTTTAAGAGAGGTTATAAGGCACTTTATTCAAGTATTTAGTCCATGATAATCCAGGTAAATCTGGGTTGCACATAGATCTCTTTACCCTATCATTTTCTTAGAATAAATTCTTTGAAATTGTGAAAATGATACTAGAGTTTTTTTAAAAAAAGAAACATAGTTCTGTTATCTAAGTTAATAGTATTGTACCAACATCAGTTTCCTGGTTTTGACAATGTACTATGGTTATGTAAGGTATTATTATTGGGGGAAGCTAGGTGAATCATATCAAGGAACTCTCTGTACTGTAATGTTTTTGCAACTTCTGAGTCTTAAGTGATTTAAAAAGTCATAAAAATTTTAAATATATAAAAATACAGCATTCTAAGGCTGGGTGCAGTGGCTCATGCCTGTAATCCCAGCACCTTGGGAAGCCAAGGTGGGTGGTTCATTTGAGCCCAGAAGTTTGAGACTGTTCTGGGCAACATAGTGAAACCCTGTCTCTACAAAAATACAAAAATTAGCTGGACATGGTGTCCCATGCCTGTGGTCCCAGCTACTAGGGAGGCTGAGGTGGAAGAATTGCTTGAACCTAGGAGGTTGAAGCTGCAGTGAGCAATGATCAAGCCACTGCACTCCAGCTTGGGTGACAGAATGAGACCCTGTCTCAAAAAAATTTTTAAATTTATATATATATAAAATAATAATATTACATATGTATCTGTAATTGAATAATATGTGTTTTTATAATGCATATACACATATTATGTGATGTTTTTATAGTGCATATACACATACATATACACATATGTATGTGTATATAGAATTGTATATTTTATGTGTCTATATATGTGTATATATAGAATTGTGTATTTCAGTGCTAGAATTGTGCTAAAGATGGCATTAATTTAATAGAAATATAAGATTTGTATGTCAGCTTTTCTTAAGTATTATTACAACTGACACACAAATATAAATTATTTACATAATTCTGTTTTTTTTATTATTACATTACAAAAATTACACATGACTTTTGAATATAGATAAGAGCAAGCCCTTCAAGGACAGCAACTTTAAAAATTGAAGCATCGCTAATAAAATTTGAAGGCTCCTGCCTCTGCAAATGTCAATATTATTTTGGTCTATCTCCTTTTATACCTACTTGTAAGATTAATAAATGTAAGCTAATTTTGTTGAAATGTAATATTCATAGTTATTCTTCCCTGAGTGGTTTTATTCCTTGATTATACAGTATGATTTCAATCAGTTGTAATAGTTATCCTTTGGCATTATCTTTTAAAAATGAAGAAATCTTACCTGTTCACTTTGGCTTTTAAAAAAGCTATCTTAGGTCTGGTGTGGTGGCTTGCACCTGTAATTCCAGCATTTTGGGAGGCTAAGGCAAGTGGGTCACTTGAGGCCAGGAGTTTGAGACCAGCCTGGCCAACATGGCAAAACCCCATCTCTACTAAAAATGCAAAAATTAGCTAGGCATGGTGGGGCATTCCTGTAATCCCAGCTACTTGGGAGGTAGAGGCACGAGAATTGCTTGAACCCAGGAGGTGGAAGTTGTAGTGAGCCAAGATCATGCCACTGTGCTCCAGTCTGGGCAACATAGTGAGACTCTGTCTCAAAAAAAAAAAAAAAAAAAAAAAAAAAAAAAAAGAGGCTATCTTAAAATAATGCAAAACTTAATAAAAGCATGAATTTCATCAAGATTATTCTCAAATTTTTCTGTTTCTAGTTTCTTTAGAAATGAACCTGAAGTTTGATTAGAAAATATAAAATCTCAAAATCATAACAAAGTAAATACCTAGTGATACTTAATATAATTTCATTAGAGAGTGCTTTACAAGTTTATAAAACCATTTTTCATGTATAGTCTCATGTTATAATAACCTTGTGTTTTACAAATTTGGGAACTTGAAATTCAAACAAAAAGTTATATCATTATTTAAAATCACATGTCTCCTAAAATAGAGAACTAAGATTCAAAACCTTATCTTTTTGAGATTAATCTGGTGAAAACAGTTTTCTAAAAACAATGAAGAGCCTCTTTAGCAAAACAATGTAGTAGAAGTTTTTAAAAAAATATTGATAGACCTTTTTCCTTTCTTTGAGATGGGGTCTCACACTATTGCCCAGGCTGGAGTGCAGGGGTGCGATCATAGTTCACTGCAGCCTTGACCACCTGAGCTCAAATGATCCTCTCACGTCGGCCTCCCAAGTAGCTGGGACTATAGGTGTATGCCAACTTGCCTGGCTAATTTTTTTATTTTTTATTTTTGGTAGAGATGAGGTCTCACTGTGTTGTCTGGACTGGTCTCAAACTCCTGGGCTCAAGTGATATGCCTCCCTCAGCCACCCAAAAGTACTGGGATTAGAGGCGTGAACCACTGCACGTGGCCCCTTTTGCTTTTCTTAGCAATATATTTAACAGTAGATATTTATCGCATTCCCATGTATTTGTACATTAATTACCTGTCAATATATTTGAAGAAATCCAATTTTTTAGTAAAATCATTTAGACATTTAGCTCTAATGATCTATGTGTGAATGTTCTATTATAAATTCTCTACAGATTTCCCTTCTCTTGCTTAGTTGAAACTCAGACTTTCAACTAGAAAGGTCATGGACTTGTATAAAGAAGGTCTGGTTTGTCTGTGTCTTTTGGAGCTCATATAGTAGTGTGAATGTACATAGTTACTTTTGACTACAGTGTAGAACCAAGAGAGTAAATTATTTCAAGATTGCCTCTTTCTTATATTAATAGAGATGATGGAAGGGGTAGCTAACAAAATAATACTTTAAATTGGAAGTTAGCCAGAAAAAAATTTACAAGAAAATTCAAACGTTAGTATGTTGCTCCTAATTCCAGTTGTACTTACTAAAGAAGTTTCTGAAAGAGTTTTGTTTCTTGTTTTTTTTTCCTTTTGTTTTACCAGGTGGCCAGTCTGATCTTGGATATAATTCATTATCTAAAGATGAAGTTAGAAGAGGGGATACATCTACTGAAGACATTCAAGAAGAAAAAGATAAAAAAGGGAGTGATTGTAGTTCCTGTAGGTATTAAGTCAATATTGTGTAAAATTGTGAACTTACATTCATAGAAAGTACAAGTGATTTTATAAAAGTACTGTTTTTACTTTCCGTTTTCCCATTATAACTATTTCTCCCATTACATGCCCTCTCAGCCACCACATACTGTCATACAAAAGCTTTATGTATGAAGTATATAGTCTCAGTGGCAAAGCACTCCCCAAATCAAATGCCTTTAGAATGAATGCTATGTAACTCCCAAAATACATGTATTTAGTAGAAGTATATATACATTTCTTGAAACAGTATTTTAAAGCTTGTGATCCTTTTGTAGTTCATGAGCATGATGATTGGGTGTTCATGCATGTTTGTGAGATGTACCACCCTTGAACCTTGTTATGACATCAGCACCTTACCCATAAGACCCGAAAAAAAGAAAAAACTAAAGTTTGTTAAGGATTGTGATTATATTTACCTCCTTCCCCACTCCACCAAAAGCATTCCTTTACAGTCAAAGAGGAAATATAAAATTTGTGCATGGACCTTATGCATGGTTAGTATTCAGTAGTTTGATCTATACTTTGAGGCCTCAAATAAGTGAAATCACTTATTTGTGGTTGACAAACAGATATAGAGGTGTTCAACATTTTCTTATCACCTATTTTCAAACAAAAATATGTAGAACTGGAAATTTCTCTTGATACCTCCTACAATGTATATAGATTTTACTTTATTAGCATTTTCATTTTCATCTTTACAGTGTCAGAGAGTGAGAGTGCAAAAGGAAGTGCTGATTGCCTTCCTAAGCTCAGTTATCAAAGTTCTTCCAGTATCGTTCGTCTCACTGGTACAAGTAACAACAGTGCTGATAAAATATCAGGAGAAAGCATAGGTAAGTTGTTATGTGCAGAATAAATTGCATCTGCATGATTAATGAATGCTTATTTTTTAATAGTCTTAATTTTCCAAGGTTATTTTAAAAATTATTTTGGGCAGTCTCTCATGGTATAGCTTAGTAACTTGAGTTCTATATTTTATAACATGCTGTGTTCAAGCTTGTATTATAACAAGGCATAGGGGCAAACCTCCAGCTCTTATACTATCTTTTGAGTTTAGACTGTTGGGACTCTTTGGAAGGGGAAAGTGGAATCAGGAGAGGTGATGAATCTGAGGGTACCATACACCTAGCTAAGTTTCAGATGAAGTATATGGTTTATTAGTCTTCATATTATTCCTGTTTTTCCAGAGGCAAAAGGATAGTCCTTCAGATAGTTTAAGTAACAATACCCAATAATTTTTCTTTTCAAAGTCTTAATGTGAGAAAATGTATATATTATTTTATATTAGATATATTAATATAAAATATAGCAATGCTTCTATCAGAGGGGATATTAACACTATTTTAAAGATGAGAAAACTAAGGCATACTTCAGTGATTGGCAGGTCACATAAATGATCAATAGTTAATGGAAAAGTCAGATTAGAAGTAGAATAATATTTGGCCTCACAAGTTTTTTACCAGACCATTTTTAGGTGATTAAATAGACTTAAGATTCGGAGTTTTTAGTGTTAGTAGTGTGATTACCTTATAACATTTTTTTTCTATTAGCTTAATTTTGCCTGATGTTGTAATATAAAAAATACTGAAGAACATGTGCTGTCAAGGCTGAAATATCTCTGTTTTTAAATGGCCTTGGTGCAATTGTGTTTAGTTTTTTTGCAACACAGTTATATATGCCTCTAGTTCAGGAGTAGGCAAACTAAGGCGCAAGAACCAAATTTAGCCTGAAGCCTGTTATTGTACTAGCCCACAAGCTAACCAAGCACTAATGGTTTTTATAGTTTTAAGTTGTCAGAAAATAATCAAAGAAGACTAATACTGTGACACATGAAAATTTTATGAAATTCAAACTTCAGTTTTCATAAGTAAAGTTGTGGGAACAGACATGCTCATTTATTTACATATTGTCTGTGGCTGTTTTTGCATTATAACAGCAGAGTTGAGTAGTTGTGATAGAGACCACATGGCCTGCAAAGACTACAGTATTTACTTTTCAGCCCTTTCTAGAAAAAGTTTGTAGAACCCTACTCTTATCTATCAAGCAAATAAAAAAAAGATGACCTATAACTCTTATTTTGCATTTCTTTGTTAGATAATTGTTATAATGTAAACATTAAAAAAATTTTCATCAATATCATGGAGTTGTTTCACAACCATTTAGTCCTTTGTAATGAATTTTCTAATTATACTCTTAATAACTTGCCTTTGATCTTTATTTTATTCTTTCATTTCTGTCTGTTCATGCTTGTCCTCTTCTGAAGATCAGCATTTAATATTTTTATTTAAATATGAGTGTAAACCATCCTTTGATCTTGACATAAAAGTCTAGAGTAGATTTCTTTGGTGTGAAGTAAAGTTATTTACCCTTGATGCTTTTGGCTTGAAAACTCATCTGTTAAGTACTATGGGTTTATTAATGCTGCCAAAGACCATACATGGGATATATAGGACTACTTATTATATACTTGTATATACTATGATTTGAAGCATTTTTCAAGTTCATTTATGTTTTGCAGTACAATATATGAATATTTTATTTATATCATTGGACACCCTTGTATATGTATATATGTGTATATGTATGGGAGTAGAATAAAGATATGTTTTTATATTTGATTAGATTTTGAAATAAACTCATCAGTCTAACAGTCATCTTGATTTTTTTTTTTTTTTTTTTTGAGACAGAGTCTTAGGCTGTTGCACAGGCTGGAGCGCAGCGGTGCAATCTTGGCTCACTGCAACCTCCGTCTCCCAGGTTCTCATGTCTCAGACTCCCTAGTAGCTGGGATTACAGGCGTGCACCAACACACCGGGCTAATTTTTGTATTTCTAGTAGAGACGGGGTTTCACCATGTAGGCCAAGCTTGTCTCAAATTCCCAACCTCAGGCAATCCACCTGCCCCCAGCCTCCCAAAGTGTTGGGATTATAGGTGTGAATATAACATATCATATTCCAGGTTGGTTTATTGGCTGCAGTTACTGCCTAATAGACAGTATTCATTCAGTAAATATTCTTTTAGATTCTACTATATGTCAGGTGCTACGGGAGATATAATAAGAAACAAAAAATAAACATGGATCCTGCCTTCATGGAGAAAGCAGGTAGAAAGGATGGGAGGATGTTAATCAAGTAAATGTGAAAGTGCTCTTAGACTAAGTACAGAAGGACCGTGAAGAAGGACAGTTAATTGCTGTGAGAACATAGATATGACGTAGGTTTGGGGTCTTTAGTCAGGGAAGACTTCCTTAAGCATTATCATTTCTGAGCTTAAATTTCAAATATGAGTGGAAAATAAATGAGAGTGGAGTCAGAAAGGAGGAATTGAGAGGGTGCAGTCCAAGCAGAGGGAAGCATGTCTAAAGGGCTGTTTGGTAGAAAGGAATCCTACAGCATGTTCAGACATCTGAGAAAAGGCTAGTATATCAGCTAGGCATGTGTTCAGCTTTAAGTCTCAGAATATATGATTAATAAGTACTGTGCTTAAAGAATTTGTGGTTTATTTTTCTCAAATAGGAAATTCAGAGGTAAGCAATTGCTCTAGATGTTGGTTCAAGGGCTTTGCCATCAGTTCTTTTGACCTAATCATGATTACAGTATGGCTACCAGTAACTCCACACATCACCTATCCAATCAAGGCAAAAAGAATGGGAAGGGAAACACCAGCCATATCTATTTCTTTTGTCAAGAAGATTTTTCCAAAAACCCTCACAAGCTATACCTTAATATCACTGGCCGGAATTATGACATAGAGCCATCTAGCCCAAGGAAGTTAAATAGTTTGCAGTCTTTGTGTTAGAGGCATGTAGCATCCAGCCTAGCTCATAGAATTTAGCATGTATGTAAACTTAGGATTAGGCAAACTTTTTTGTAAAAGGCTGGATAGTAAATATTTCAGGCCTTGTATGGCACATACAATCTCTCTTACCTGTTTTTCCGGGTGCATGATTTTTACAACCCTTTGCAAATGTAGAAACTGTATGAGACTACATAAACAGTCCTCAGGCTAGATTTGACTTGTGGGTATAGTTTGCAAACCTCTGGTAAAGTCTGATAACAAACTTTGTCTTCAGGTCATAGTATATCACTGACTTTGCAAAGGAACCATTGCACGTCTATTTAGATGCAATTTCAGAGTATAATCTTTAGGTTATAAGATTCCTCCAAGTCTTTAGTAATATTTAAACTATCAAGCAGAACATTTCCCAGAATGTCAGAAGAAAGTATGTTTTTTATTTCTCATGTCCTCAATCATAAGCTGATGCAAAAAAGAATAAACTGTGCCTCTCTGATATGTCATTTTTCTTGTTAATGGTATATACTATTAAGTAATAGTAGATGCCAGCTTTTATGACCTCTAGTATTCTGTCTTATCTCTTGCCCTGCCATTTGCGTGCATGCCCTGCCATTTGCAAGAAAAGGTACATTTTTAATACTTGTCTGGCTATAGTGAGCTAATTCTGTGGATAAAGCACGTAAGAAGAATAGTTGATGATACTATACCTAGACTAACGCTTTAGAGGACTCCCACATATAGTAAGAACAATTAAAGTGATCAGAAATCTAGATTTCTGCTTTTACTATTATCTAAGTAATTTGGTAGAAAGCAGTGAATAGTGTTTTCAAATAATGTGAAGTGGCTGTTACCATTTGACTGGTATGAACTTGCCGTTAGTATGTTAAGCAAAGGTAAAATTAGCCACATTTATAGTTATAAGGATTTGGAGGATAAAAAAAAACACCTTTATTTATGGATAAAGTTAACATACTTCCATTTTGTTTCGTGTTTTGGATCTTTTTCTTTTTCATTTTAATAAGGAGAAGATTCACAATTTTGGCTGGGCATGGTGGCTCACGCCTATAATCCTAGCACTTTGGGAAGCCAAAGCAGAAGAATTTCTTGAGCCCAGCAGTTCAAGACCAACTTGGGCAACATGGTGAGACCCTGTGTCTACCAATTAAATTAAAAAAACAACAAAAAAAGACTTAGAATCTCAAGGTCATCTAGTACAACCATAATTGTAAAACCATTGTAATTTATTTAGTGGAATTAATGTAAATTCATTATTAAATATAAATCTTAATTGATAACATTTTTAAAAAGCAGTGCATTCTAATGTCTAGGAGCATACCCTTTATAATTGGACAAGTCTGAATTTGAATCCCAGTTCTGTCTCTTAAGGACTCTGAGCTAGATAATTAATCTCCTTGAATGTTTCTTTTTTCTCAACTCATAAGGATGTTAGAATGTTTACAGTAGGTAATATAAGTAAAGTGTCTAGTATAGTATCTGTCAAATAGCAGACACTCAGTGAGTCCTTGTTATTATCATTTTTATCACTAGAATTTTAAATATTTAAAATGACTTATATTTACTATTATATTTTCATGGCTAAAAGCACTTTGCTTGTTTTTCAGAAAGCACACCTGAACTGCTCTTAATATCATCTCTTGAGGATACAAATGAAACAGGAAACATTCAAAGTAGATGCTTCAGAAAAAGACATAAAAGTGACAATGAAACTAATTTGCAGCAGCAAGTGGTCTGGGGAAATAGAAACCGTAATCTTAGTGGAGGGATACTGATGGGATTTATGCTCAATAGAATTAACCAGGAAGCAACCCCTGGAGATATAGTTGAAAAATTGGGAGCCGATGCAAAAATTCTTTCAAATGTTATCTCAAAAAGGACAAGACCAAATACTCTTGATATTGGGAAGCCACCTTTAAGATCAAAAAGAGACAGTTTAGAAAAGGAATCTAGTGATGATGATACACCTTTTGATGGTTCTAACTATTTGGCAGACAAAATGGATTCACCTGTTATTTTTGACTTAGAAGACTTAGACAGTGAAACAGATGGCTCAAAAGCAGGATGTGTTGCTACACAAAATCCCAAGAGAATTCAGCGTATGAACAGCAGCTTTTCAGTAAAACCTTTTGAAAAAACTGATGTTGCAACGGGATTTGATCCCCTCTCTCTTTTGGTTGCTGAGACTGAACAGCAAAAAGAAGAAGAGGAGGAGGATGAAGACGATAGCAAAAGCATTTCAACACCGTCTGCTAGGCGTGATTTAGCTGAAGAAATTGTGATGTATATGAATAATATGAGCAGTCCTTTGACAAGTCGTACACCAAGCATTGATTTACAACGGGCATGTGATGATAAATTAAATAAGAAAAGTCCAACATTGGTCAAGGCATGCAGAAGATCTAGTCTGCCTCCTAATTCTCCTAAGCCAGTGAGACTTACCAAATCTAAAAGTTACACAAAAAGTGAGGAGAAACCAAGAGATAGACTTTGGTCTTCTCCAGCCTTTTCACCTACTTGCCCATTTAGGGAAGAATCTCGGGATACATTAACCCACTCATCACCTTCATTTAACTTAGATACACTACTAGTACCTAAACTAGATGTTCTAAGGAACAGTATGTTCACTGCTGGAAAAGGAGTGGCAGAGAAAGCAAGCAAATGGTATTCAAGATTCACCATGTATACCACATCATCTAAGGTAAGTTTGGTTAGTATTTGCTACTTTTACTGTCGCACACACACACACACATACCCATCACCACGAAAAGCCCCTTGCTTGTTTTAACTATTCTTCCTAAACATAGCTTTATAAAAATGACTTATGGAGTGTGTAAGTTTTGTAAGTATCAGAATTTGAACTGGAATAATAACTTCAAAAGAAAAAAAAAATCTTACTAAGGTTGTATTTGTAGTTCAGTTTTGAAAGACAGTGATTTGTAGCTGGAGTAAGAATTAGTGTTATTTGAAAGTACTTACTGAATTTCAATATTTCCTTCAAGATGCAGATTTTTTTTTCCAGACAATGTGTCCAGTATGCCCTCAAAAATTACCAGTCAGGCATATGATTTGCCCTTCTGGTTAGGATGCAGTAACTTAGGATAGACTTACATACCTTCCCCTAAGAGCAAAAAGCTAGATGAAATAGAGGAAGTACCTGTTTAAAGTCATCAGCGAACTGCTAGAGCTACTAGAAAGCAGAGAGGCAGGATTCTAGAGAGGTGAACTAAAGTTCTAGAGCCACTTTCTTCCTGAGGGTATTTGCTAATTATGAGCATGAAGCACTAGGTTGTAAATCTAGGCCTTCCCTTATCAGAACTTTTGGGACTTTGTGGGTTAGAGAGACAAAATTGAAGACTTTAAGGGCCTCAAATACACTGAAGATTTTTTTTTCCCTCAAGACATTTTCCAGATACTTGATACTGCATGAGAAGGGTAAGTAGAACATTTCTGAGAAGTCAAGTTCTCAACAGTTTCATGGTGCTGGACTCATAAGAGCTAGAGTTCAGGAGCTGCCAGAGAGGGCCTCAGTCGGAATACTTATAGAGATAAGCCTTAGGAACGTTGGCAAACCAGATGTAGACTAGGCCTCACCAAAATTAACACCTAGACTTGACTCAGGTCATCATGATTTGGTTAAAATGATCAGCTTTTATTCTATCAGCAAGAAAAGATCGTACCTTTTCTGGAGGAGTAAAACATCATCTGGAATCCTTGCAGTTTTTAATACACAATGTCTCACTCAATTAAAAATAACTATGCCAAGAGACAGGAACAACTAAAAAACAGAAGAAAGCAGTTAATGGAAAGAGACCTTTGAGTGATCCGGATGTTTTAATTAACAAGGGACTTTGTAATAATAATAATATGTTCAAGAATATAAAGGAAAAGCTATTAAAAATAGCTGTAAAGATGGAAAGTTTCACCAGTTAATCAGAATGTATTAAAAATAATCATGTAAATTTTAGAACTGAAAATGAAATAAAAAGCAAAAATCTTGAGCCAAAGAAAAGAGATACATTATTTGCAAAGGAGCAGTGGCCTTCTGAAGAGAAACTATGATGTCAGAAGATACTGGAATGATATCTTTAAAGTGCTGAAAGAAAATTAACTGTCAACCTATTTTTCTATACCGAACAAAAATATTTTTCGGAAATTGAGTTGAGAATACTGGTTCCACTGTGGTAACATAAAGCCACCACAGCCAATCCTTCCCACTGATTACAGTTTAAAAACCAGACAAAATTAAAAAACAACTAAGGATTCTGAAAAATAAAAGCAGGCAGATTCTGGGGAGAGACCCACACAGAAATGAGTTTATCAATTTTCTTTTCTTAGGCATCTTTGCCCCAAGGATAGCCGCATCATGGCATAGCATCTCTGGCAGATAAAACTTCAAGAGAAACCCCTTATTTCCTGAACAGAGAAGCCTGAGAAAGAGGCCTCTTTGTGCAAAAGTTTGAGGGGAATCCCATACAAGTTTCAGCCTACCCCTTAACCAGCACAGTCTTGGGACAGATGTAAACTGGAATGGAAAAAGGCTTAAGTAACTGAACCAAAAGTTCACTGCTTAGAAAAAGCAAAACACAAATTACAATCAGAATATAACTCAATTGATTGCCTGCTGAAACAAAGGCATCAACAATCTCTGAAGTATTATGACAGTACCCAGTCTACATAACATAATATTCAGTGTCCAAGATAAAATCCCAAATTACTTGATATAAAGTACCAGGAAAATGTGACCAATTCTCAAGGAAAAGACAACTCCAAAATGACTCAGATGTTGGAAGTATCAGGGAGAAACTTTAAAGCAGCTACCATAACTAGTTCCTTTAGGTAAAGGAAAACACATTTGAAATAAATTAAAATAAATTCTAGCAAGAAATAGAAATTATCAAAACAATTTTTATAACTAGTCAGTGAAGAGTGATAGAAATTAATCAGAAGAGGCAGGGCATGGTGGCTCATGCCTGTAATTCCAGTGCTTTGGGAGGCTGAGGTGGGTGGATCATCTGAGGTTGGGAGTTCAAGACCAGCCTGACCAACATGGAGAAGCCCTGTCTCTACTAAAAATACAAAATCAGCCAGGCGTGGTGGCACATGGTTGTAGTTGCAGCTACTCAGGAGGCTGAGGAAGGAGAATCACTTGAACCTGGGAGTCAGAGGTTGCAGTGAGGCAAGATTGCGCCACTGCACTGCAGTCTGTTGGTGACAGAGCAAGGCTGCATCTCAAAAAAACTAAACTAAACTAAACATAGTCTTATATGTGATAATATCAAAAGAACAAATAAAATATGGATAATGAGTTCCAGAAGAATTGAAGAGGGAGATTTTGTTAGAAAAGATATTTGAGGCCAGGTGCAGTGGCTCATGCCTTTAATCCCAGCACTTGGAGAGGCTGAGGCAGGCAGATCACGGGGTCAGGAGATCATCCTGGCCAACATGGTGAAACCCCATCTCTACTAAAAAATATAAAAATTAGCTGGGCGTGGTGGTGCGCACCTGTAGCCCCAGCTACTTGGGAAGCTGAGGCAGGAGAATTGCTTGAACCTGGGAGGCGGAGGTTGCAGTGAGCTGAGATCGCACCACTGCACTCCAACCTGGCAACAGAGTGAAACTTTGTCTCAAAAAAAAAAAAAAAAAAAAAAAAGATATTTGAAGATTTGAAGAAATAATGCTGAAACCTCTAAAACTGGTAAAATATACAGATTTATAGATACAAGAGACTCAGCAAATTACAGACAGAATAAACTCAAAACCACACCTGCGCACACCAAAAGTAAACTGCTGAAAATCAGAGATATCCACCTGCTAACAAGAAAATGGCTGATAAAAAAAGTACATTGAAAGCTATTAACAAAAAAAGTATACATTACCTATGGAGGAATAAAGATTTGAATTTACCCATGCACTGTTCATTATAATCCTTGGAAGGAAGAATTTAGTGGAATGGTACCTTTAACGTGTAGAAAGAAAAGACCTGTCAACTCAGAATTCTGTATCCAGTGAAAATATTCTTCAGGGGTCAATGTGAAATAAAGGCATTTTCTGATAAAAGAAAGGAATTCATGAGCAGTGGAATTGCTCTGTAAGATATGCTGAAGGAAGTTATTTAGACTGAAGAAAAATGATACCAAAGAGAAACCTGGATCTTCAGGAATAAAAGAAGTGTAAAATAAATGGTTAATAGCTGGTTAATAGAAAGATTAATTTTTGGCCTCCTAAACTACAAAAAAAAAATCCTGTAATTGTCTAAACAAAAATAGTAACATTATCTCATGGAATTTTCAATATGTGTAGATGGTTGACAGTAGTGAACTTCAGTAGTAAAGGAACTTTCCCCACAGACCTTCATTATGGTTATATTGTTAAATATCAAATGATATAAAACTAAGTAGACTTTCAATGATTAGACATGTATATTGTAATCCCTGGAGTACTGGCTTCAAATATACAGTGAGATGCAGCCAAAGAGCCAATAAAAATATTCAGATAGTCTTAGGACAGGAAATCTTGAAGAAGCCAAGAAAAGGAGAACAGAGAAATAGAAGACTAGATCTAACCATATCAACAATTAAATGATAACAATCTAAACACCGCAGTTAAAAGGCAGACGTTAGGCATGGCACAGTGGCTCATGCTTGTAGTCCCAGCTCTTTGGAAGGCCAAGCAGAAGGATTACTTGAGCCAGGAGTTTGAGACCAGCCTGGCCAACATAGCAACACCTTGTTTGTACTTTTTTTTTTTTTTTAAACTAGTGGCCATGGTGGTGCAAACTTGTAGGAGAGTTGCTTGAGCCGGAAGTTCAAGGCTGTAGTGAGCTGCGATTGTGCCACTGCACTCAAACCTGAGAAACAGACTGATTTCATAGTGATGAGGAGTTGGATGTGATGGTATGTGCCTGTAGTTCTAGCTACTTGGGAGGTTGGGGTGGGAGGACTGGATTGCTTGAGTCCAGGATTTCTTTTTTTTTTTTTTTTTGAGACGGAGTTTCGCTCTTGTTACCCAGGCTGGAGTGCAATGGCGCGATCTCGGCTCACCGCAACCTCCGCCCACCGCAACCTCCACCTCCTGGGCTCAGGCAATTCTCCTGCCTCAGCCTCCTGAGTAGCTGGGATTACAGGCACACGCCACCACGCCCAGCTAGTTTTTTGTATTTTTAGTAGAGACAGGGTTTCACCATGTTGACCAGGATGGTCTCGATCTCTCCACCTCGTGATCCACCCGCCTCAGCCTCCCAAAGTGCTGGGATTACAGGCCTGAGCCACCGCGCCCGGCTGAGTCCAGGATTTCTGAGCCAGCCAGGGCGGCATAACAAGACTCTGTCTCTGAAAAATAATGATGATAAGAAGCAGTTCATTAGGAAGACACCACAATTATCTGTATATATTCACTAAATCACAGAGCCTCAAAACAATGACATAATAGAATTAAGGGGTGTTCTAGATTTTAGTAGGAAATTTTAAAACTAATTAGATAGAAGAGCTAACAAAAATTGGTCAAGACAAATAACAACAGAATCAGCTACTTTTATATAATTGACATTTATAGACTATTCACTTAACAACTACAAAATACACTTTTTTTTTTTTTTGAGACAGAGTCTCACTCTGTTGCTCAGGCTGGAGTGCAGTGGCACCATCTCTGCTCACTGTAACCTCTGCCTCCTGAGTAGTGGGGACTACAGGCACATGCCAC